ACACGAATTTGGATTGTCGCGATTCCTTCGCAGTAACTCCATGGCTCTCGTGTGTATCTCACCCACTGTCATAGAATGGGATGTGTGAAAATGGGGAACACCAACGCAAGCAATCGAGCATGTTCACAGAAGGAACAAAGCGTCCTTCCCATTCCAAGGAGCACTGATCCATGGACGTTAGACAGAGCACGGACCTCAGCTGCATCCGCAGGTCCAGATGTTCTCCGGGGCTATTATGAGGGATAAATTATAAGAAACAAACGGTTGTGCAGACATAGACGTACCTTGAAAGAGGGGTTCAGACCATGGGACAAGCTTTGTCAAGCTGCTGAACACAGGAACATCCTCTATTAGAAATTTTGATAAGATTTGAGGCCACATGATCCATTCCTATCCAGTAGCCAGAATTATGGAGGGATGGGGTTTTATCCAGAACATGAATCAGAATATAGTTGTTGGTTTTGTGACAGGCCTCCAAAACCCCTCGAAGGCTTTGGTTTGTCAAACGCCGATCCCGATGCTGCTGCAGGTTGTATGACTAGGCGCAAGTATCAGTTCCTAACAAGGGTATGGAAACAGGGAAATATATAATTACTGCATCTGGTGCATACCATCGGAGAAGGTACTGTGTAAAGATTCTCGGCTCAACGGAGGGTGGACAAAAATACTTCAGAGTAGAGCCGCAGATGGTCGGGAGAAAACCAAGTTATTTTGCTAAGCGCTCTCGAGAGGAGCTTAATGCTCAAGACATGGGTTAGCGAGAAGCGGGCGCTGGGATTTATTTTGAAGGCCCACAATAGGCGAAGTGCAGCCAACGTCACAAGTATCCCTGCCAAAAGTCAACAACTGGAGGAAACGATGGCATGTTCGGTTCGTACAAGATACCAAGATGACTAAAAGGCATGACACTCGGGATAACCGAACCGCTGAGGTAGACCCAGCGATTTGGATATGAGCCATGTCACAAAGGAAGAGATGGCATCGAAAGGACTTTCCTGTTTTTGAAAAGGGTGGGAGGTGCCCAATCTATTCGAGAAGAGGTTAAGGGTTTATGCACGGAGTACTCAGCATGGATGTTGGCATGCACTGGGTGCATCCTAACCCATTTCCGATAGGAGCAAGGGATAACAAATCACAAAAGAAAAGTAAACCTTTCATGATACAAGGAAAGGGGTGCGAACCGCCCTATCAAGCGAATCGGGGGGCAAAGAAATCGAGGTTCGGCATTCATTCTGCATTGGAAGATCGTCATCGACCGATCAGTATTCCTTGTGTTCAAGGTGCCAAAAGCCGTCAATTCGCGTGCGCAACGGTGGCGCGAAAATCATGGCGCTGAGGAAACGTCCACAAGGGCTGATATTTGCACAAATACGTAAGCACAAACAAACGAGTGCTTCGAGACGGGACTTTGATGAAAGCAGGGAAGAAAAGTGATTGAAGCCTCGAAGCATGCTTGAACTGGTCGATAATACGGAGTATGGTGTGTTCGCTCCATCCACATGAGCAGTTACTCGGTTCGAGTTGGGCCAAAATGCATTCCTATCCGGCAGTATGCGACGGAAGAAGGGGACCAAAGAGGGCGTCTGCAGACCCAGGGCGTATTATTCTGTGGTTTACGGAGGGCACAGCGGAGAAGTCCAAAAACGACGAGGTCCAGTGGTTTGGTAAGCGCTGTGATTAGCTAGACGCGATGCATCAAAGCTGAGTTCTGTGTCAGTGGTCACAGCGAATGCCAGTCGGGGTGACAAGGAAGAAGAGAGTTCAGCAGGAGGCCAAATCACGATTTGAGGACGAAAGAATCGCGATCTAAACCGTGGTTACCGGGATTAGCACAGATAGCGTATGATTGCTTTTTCTAGCGGATGTCAGGGGGTTTCGAAGAACCGGTCGGATCTGAAATCGTAGCGGAAATCGCACGCGCTTTGAGAACAGAGCAGAGGCTGTCTACAGGGGCTGAAATAGAGATGAACGCCAGAATGGGGCCCATTCGATCCATATGATCCCCGTGAACGAAAGGAAATTCATTGCAGCATCGGCGATTCACTCAACCTGGGCCGTGATGATCAACGTCAAGGAGGCGAAGAGTCCAGACAACCAGTGCGGGGTTCTCCGTTGTAAGCATTATTGGAAGCCCTCAAGGTCTCTGAGGATCTGAGCGTTGCTCTCAGCTTGACTCAAATTTGTGCCTTCAACCTGTGGGCAGGGGGTTAGAGACATTGGCACGGGGCTTTGTGGAGAGGTGGCGGCAACGAGTGCTGAGGACGAGTCAACGGGCTTTGGCCGGATTTCATGTGAATTCTGAACGGTTCGTATCTCGCTGCAGCCCGTCAAGGCGCTCAAATGCCGTGGTTGTGACGGAGAGACGACGTTGTCTCGAGATCAATGGCTCAAGACTCAGTCCAGGGCCTTGTAGCTGGCTGGTTAGTCAGCAGCCCCCATGATCACGCTGAGTAGGTGACGATGCAGCATCCCGCATCGGGAGCATCTCGATCCCCAGGGATGCAACTGTGTGTTATTCTTAACTATCCAACAGTATCGAGACTCAGCCGATAATGGCATTGTGCTTTCTGTGCTACGCCACGGCTGGAAATGCTAGTGTCGAACCGCAAGGATCTGCAACGATTTGCTCCGTCTCGAACGACACGTCGAATCCCGGCGCCATGGTTAAATACTGCAATTTTCGCCCAGCGGCTTTCATTCTTAACCTGTCGAGATGGCCGGGTTTCAAGCATACATGGATAGCCACTGACGGCTAAGATGACCAGGCAGCGGCCTCGTTTTATCTGATCGGATCGAGGCAGCCAACATTCTCTGATGACCCAGCCACTGTCACATCATTTGCTCTCAGATTCCGGTAGATTTATACCTTGTGACGTCTACGACCTCCTTAGCCTGGCTACGAATCGAATCGGGACCTGCCTCTCATAGGCCTGCGGACATTTTTGTCAACCAAATATATCTACCTATCGTCGTCTTCCTTCAGATCTGTACGAGCCTGCGGCAAAGTCGGTGATTACCCCATATGCGCCACGTAATATCCGCGAAAGGAATCCGCCTTTAGAGAGCGTTTGTTTGGCTATGCTTCATCTGTCACACGATAAACAAGAGGCATCCGCCTGCAGATTCTCCATTTCAACCGACATCGATCGTTTAAAGGCCCCAGCACCCACCTCGATAGTGACCCAAACCACGGATCAACTGGGGATTCAGAACCGTATTTACCCACCTTTCAAAATGCCTTCTACATTACGGACGCCATCTCCTATCGCAGCCAAGCCTGTTAAGCGGGATAGTGCTGTTCCCGACATTTATAGGCTCGACCCAGACGGGGATATCACTTTGGTTCTGACGAGATTTGTGACCTATGTCGATGAGGATGATGAGATCCTTGGTACAAAAGCAATACCCCAAGCCGATACTGGAGACGACGGCGTCGTGGAAGAAGGTGAGGGCCTTGAATGGCTGCAGCATCATTTTCAAACAGTGACTGCATATTTCTTTGTCGATACTAATTCGTGGTAAAGAGGTCATCATTCATGCTTCATCCCGACATATGATCCTAGCGTCCCCTGTTTTTCGAGCAATGCTTCAAAGAAAATTCAGCGAGAGCAATACATTGCAACTTACCGGAAGGGTCGAAATCCGGCTTCCTGACGACGACCCTGACGCACTATTGATTCTTTTGAACATCATCCATGGACATGTGCGGAAAGTCCCCTTGAGTGTCGACCTAATAACATTAATTCAGCTTGCGATACTCGTGGACAAATATGATATTCACGAGGCTGTAGAACTGTTTTCCAATTTTTGGTTCGACAACTTAAAGTCTACTATCCCAGGGGAATATACCGATGATATACCTGCTTGGATCTGCATATGTTGGGTATTCGATAGGCCGAATGAATTTAAGGTCACGACCCATCTCGCTCTTCGCCAGGGAAAGCAAGCGATTACCTCAGGAGAATTACCGATTCCATCGTCAGTTGTAGGTAGGTGTTGAACCGCCCGCTAAGCGTCACATCGACGAATACTAATTGCAATTCTAGAAGCAATCAATAGCAAAAGGCAGGAAGCTCTCCATAAACTCCTGACAACTCTTTACGGCCATCTCGATGATTATATGGAGAATGAGCACTGTAGCTTTGAATGTGACGCCCTCATGCTTGGTTCCCTGACCAAACGCCTCCGAGCCCTGAAGATTTTCCCCCTTCGACCTGATCCGCCGTATTCTGGACTTTGCTTTGAAGAATTCGACTACCGCTTTCGCCAAGGAATGTATTTTCCTGGGGCTCAGCGGACGAGTGCATATTTCTATGAGCATTCGAAATGCGCTATCCGGTCGCTCGATACGACGTTGCTAAAATGCGAAGAAAAGTTACTGGGCTTGGACATGAGGGACTACAAATGACCTATTTTGAACTTGGTCCTTCTTCCATCTTTTCTTCGTTCAGATGCTGACTCTGCTTCACGCTGACGACATTCTCGTTGTGTATATTTACTAGGTGGTTAGTGACTTGATAAATATGCGGGTTACAGGGCATACCCCGCAAGGGATAAGATACCGTCTGATAATATTATGGCTGGGTTGGATGGAGTAGACGGGAAGGGTTTCCTTTTTTGATACTCGGTGCAACAATCAATGCAACCCTTTTGATGCTGCTCTCCAAGATTTCACTCGTCGACCCGAATTTAAGCTTTCGATGCGATTCGAGCTTGAAATTTCGCAGGAGAATACTCCGTACGGAGTTTGGATTGAAGAATTACATGCGCTGTGTAACAGAAGGACACAAGTGGAATTGTTACACGCGAACCCCATTCCTGCAATGCTGTGCTCCCTGCAAAGTTCACCCCAACAAGCACAGGCAGCGACGCGCTTGTGAGGATATCCGCGCTGCCAAAAGACGATGACCAGTTCAAGGTGGAAGGATAATGAAAGCCATGCAGCCTGAATTTAGAGGATTGTCAAACATTGAGAATGGACAGGAATAATATTGTGTCAACCCAGCTTCTCCTGCAGGCACAATAGCATGGGATGTTGAATATGCTTCAATATATCCTCAGTTTACCTGCTCGATAACCCCTGAGCTTGTGCATGGAAGGCAAACTGTTATTGACAAAGGGCTCAAGTTTCTATATTTCATTTACTCATTTGTGCTGCTATTCTAACCTGTAGGCTCAATAGGATGATAAATCCTCTTTTGTGGTGGCTATCACCATGGATCTAGGCCATTCCCACTGGGCGGCGCATGCATGCAGGGATATTCAAGCAGCAATTTGAGTTCTTCATTGTCTATTTTGTGTCAAATTCTGTTTGTTTGCTCTTCAAGCATTAATATAGCAGTTGGTGGGTCAGTGAGTCAACAGGCAGAAGGTCACTGGGCAATTATACTGGGAGGTACTGGTAATACATAGACAGGTACCAGGTGTTAATTGAGAGTCCATAAGGAAGTGCCAGACCTGAACTCATCAAAGTCCCACAACACTGGAGTGTTCCATGATTTTGGTTTATGAGGCACTAAAAGCCAACAGCTAATGAGAATACTTTCTCTATGCTTGACTCACAATATATAATATGATAGTGAAATGGGAATTCAAAGTCAAATATTACTCTGCAGCTGAAAACCAGCACGCTGAGCGTTCTATCCATTCTCACTTTTCACTCCTCCAACCCCACCCATATTCTCCACCTTAGCTTACACATCCACTTCATCTTCCTCATTCAATCAAGCGTCGCCCAAGTTGACCAGACCACATGCTAAAACGATGCCCTTCAAGATCGATACAACTACCCCCCTCTACATTGTGTTGGTTGTGGTAAGATATTGAAGATCCAGCCTGGTTATGACCTCAGTTGCTAAATTTCGCCACTAGGGCGGGGCCATCTCCTTGATCCTTGGAGCGTGAGTTATCGCTTTCTTCATCACGTCTCTAGCCAACGTGTATTGAAAGAGAATAATGAGTAACAGACCTCTCGCGAAACAGGCTATCTTGGGCTCGCACCGCCGCTCTGCTTCTTCCTTTACCGACATGGGTTCCAGCCACCGCGACACTTATATCCCCGATCACAGTACTCACACTGATAGCCACGCGAGTGTTTTCCAAGCAGTCAGACCATGAGACTCCTCGCAATTGTTGGTGGAGCACAATATCCGGTATACTTAATCAGATCCAGACCATCATATCGACCATCGTGGCCACAGTAGCGCTGGCGTACATCTTCCCCGACAGTATTCTCTCATGTAACCTAGACCAACAATGGCAGGCGTTCTTCCAGTCGAAGAATTCGCACGCTATCCGCTCAATCCAAGATGAGTTCCGATGCTGTGGTCTTCGAAGTCTTCACGATAGGGCATGGCCTTTCAAGGACCGGAACCACGGGGACAATGCATGTGAATTGCAGCTAGGATATCAGAGGAGTTGCTTCGCTCCTTGGAGAGAGCACCAGCAGAGTACTTCTTGGATGGTTTTTGCAGCAGCTGTTTTTGTTTTTGCAGCCAAGGTAGGTTTACCGCCACACTAAGATTTGCGGTGCAGTGGCTGATATTCTGCAACTCTGCATAGATTGCTTATATTCGGCTGTTCAGCCATAGAATGAGTTGGATGAGCACACAATCTGCCATAAGGAGGCCTGATTACCAGCAGATTATACACACGGCGGTGCAAGACGAAGGGGACAACGAGAACGGCGTTCATGGGGAGGCGCAGAGGACATTCTTACCCGAGTCAATTACCGAGTATAGAAACGATTGGGAGGTAGATTAAGTTCTAGCGCGCTTGGCCCCTTGCTGTTATGTTTCTCGCTTTCTTCATCGTTTCAGTGTAGATTTGTAGGGAATCGAACCACTTAATATTTTGTCCGAACCCGCCATACAAAATACGATTTTACAACCCAGGCACAAAAGAGAGAAAATGTTGGAACCAACTAACATGACAATGATGCAGGAACGCGCATCAAGAGTGGCATTCTTCACAAATTATTGGCGGTCCAGCGCAGTTGGAGGATGGCCGAGTACGCGGAAGGATCTTTGGATTGAAATTTGGCCGCATAAACCTCCTTTTCAACTCTTCAATAATTCTCCATCATAAGAGGGATAGGAGTGTACTCTCTTCAGCTCAGGAGAAATTCAAAACTTTAACAACTAGCTTGACATCAGCTAGGAACTATGCGTTTCTATTGATAACAGTGGAGCTACAAGAGTACAGAGAGCTAGCGACTAGAAGGAAGCTAGATAGAAGATATAGATTGACAGCTAGATAGTAGTAAATAGCAAATGTAGTATAGTAGATAGTATAGTAGACTAGATGCGCCAATATATTAGTGATTCAGCAAGCACAGTTAACCTGTAAGGAAAGCGCCAAGGCTACTGAAAAATGAAAGAGCGCCCAGAAGCTGCTTGGGTGCGGTCTAGATTAAGGTGCTATCACTGTGAAATCCAAATGTTTGTCTGTCAAATATCATAGTGGACGTAATAACTTTAGCATTTCGTCCCTTCCATATTGCTCTGCGATATCCGCCGCCACTTTCTCGTCCCTGTCCTTTGCAGACGCATCGACGCCCTTCGCCAGCAGATATTCGGCGTGCTCCACTGCCGCCTTAGTCGGTTGCAATGCCACCAGATGCAGTAAAGTTTGGCCGTTCGCGTTGCTCTCCGTCCAGTTGGTATTTGCTTCGTCAAACAAATCCAACAGGTTTACCCACGCATACGCGTCATGTCTAAAAGTTCCATAAAAGCTTTTAGTGGAAGGCTGGCCATCATTATTTCGGGCCCGCCCGGAATTCTCGTCGTCAAGGAAAATCTCAATTGCGGTACGTTTGACCTTATTCCGTGCGTTGACGTCTACGCCAAGCTCAGCAAATTTGCGAAATAATGCTCGCACGGGTTCCTTAGGGGCTATATCATCGAAGCCCGTGGCTGCAAGGTAGTGCAATGCTGTGTTGCCTCTCCCGTCGCAGGCCAAGGGGTCAGCTCCGGCGGCGAGAAGCTGCTCGACGCGCCTCAAACGGTTCTTAAAATAATATGGGACATGGCGCAAGGACTGCAAGGCCGCATGGATTGGATAATTGCCGTGGTAATCTGGCTGGTTCACCAGTTGGGGAAGATGTGTCAGGGTGTAGAGTAGAGCATCGTCGATCTTAGGATCCTCGTGGAGGCCCGGATCGGCTGGCGACTCAAATAGATGATGTAGGATGTGTTTTCCTTTGTTATCGACCGCCAGCATGTCGGCGTTGCGAAGCCGAAAAGCATGGAACAATGAAGGCCTGTACACCGAGGCAGCCAAAGGGTCGCGTTTCTCAGCTTCGAGTTCTCTATAGACGTCACCCAAAATGGCATCAGCACCTAGGATGCTACGGCAAACGGAATGCAGAACAGTGCGGCCCTGGGGATCGCGACGCTCGATGTCAAGGTTGAATTCCTCGTCAAAGAAGGGCAGAACTTGCCCGCCATTTTCGAAAATAGAATGGATGACACTGCAAATACCGTACATGCTAAAGTGAGGACGCAGTGCTGGACTGATATCCACAAATTCCTTCTTCAGGGGTTCTAGTTTCTCGTCAAACGTCTCGCCAGGGTAGCGATACACGTTTGGGCGCTCAAGAGGAGCCCGGTAGAGTGCATATGGATCCGCGCCCTTCTCCAGAAGGTAACGCATTGCGCCCAGTTGCCTATCTTTATCCCAGTATGAATATCTCGACTCGGGACTATGGGCAGCAGCCTGTAAAGGAAACCACTCCAGGCATTCATTTTGTAATTTGTGGTGAGTATCTCGAAAAAAAATGTCACCGTCGCGCGTAGCCCAATCTGAGGCAACACCTTCATTGGCAGGACGTGCTGCTGCTGCGCGCATGTTAGGGTGAGCCCCCCCTACTGATCAAGTGATGTAAACTTTCGTCTTGACAGCTTTCGGCGGCAGCCATAACAGCCTCCCCTGTGATAACAACACCGAACCAGTCGATGCATTGATGGAGCTCCAAGGGGCGCTCGACAAGGTGGACGAGTGGGCTGACTCCATCTGACGATGAGTGGATCGGGGTCCTTCATATTCTTTCGGGCCCATCAGGTGGGCAGAGACTGTAGTCGATTGGAATGAGACGGTAGTCAAGTGCCATCCTGATTGTCACTTTGGCCGGATATCTCAATGCGAGTTGTCTGTAGATTGTGGGTAAAAGGATGAAGGGAGCTTCTGAGAGAGCAGGCCTAAAGCACGACGTGGAGGTGAATCCGTCTTTCGAGGCTCGATGCCCCTCTGCTCGCCTATCTGCGATTGTTATTAAAAGAGGGGAAGAAATGCAGGGATTATGATAGTGGCAAGAAAGCGAACGCTTCCTCTGATCACTCAGGGTCTGTGAGGCATATAACTATACAGTAATGTAAGCTTGCTGGAGTATAGTTAGGTAATAAGTGGGTTATATGCCGCGTGAATGCTGTTCCCATTCTATTTAAACTGAACAGTAGTAGGACAAAGTCAACTTTGTGTCTCAACTTACAACTGTTTTGCCATATATTGATAGAAAATGGAGACTGAAGAGGGGAATAACTACTTACAGAGCACAAGTGCTTCTTCCCATCTTCGTGTGGCCACTTTTGTAACTTCAAGACAGCTGATCCAGTGCTGGAAGAGGATAGAGACAACAGTCATCAGTCAACTAACAGAGCCGACAATTTTTACCACAGCTCTTAAGGTGCTGCAAGCTGGTGACGCAACTGTCTTCACCACATCTCTCTTCTCCACCTGCTCTGCCTCAGCAAGATATAATGATCCTGGTGCTATGTCCCTGAAAGCTTGTTCTGATATGATTGAGTGTCGTGGGTGCAGAATAAGAGCAGGGCTTCTCAAAAATGGTCTGCACATGAAATACAAACATCTTCATCTCTTCACAGTGAGAGCTATGCAATACCACACACAAGCTCTAGAAGACAGTCATGTCTTGCATTCTCTGACAATAGTGCTCTCTTCAAAGAACAATGAAGTTGTCAGCCTCTGTTTCAAGCTCTTTCAGCTCCTCACCAACAATATGAATCAACTGTAAGAGAAGTCAATGCCCGTTCACAATCCAGTTCAGCCATGTATGGGCCGGCTCCAAGCCCTATCACAAAGTTGTACCACCAGTGATCTTTCGGAATGAACCTGAGTGCTGTGGTGAAGTCCCAATACTCAGGGCACCAACCCGCCGACTCCCAATCCAGGAAGCCTGTAATCTGTCCATTGTGTACGAGGATGTTATGGTGCTTGAGGTCGCCGTGCGTGAAAACAATACGGTGAGGCATCGAATCCATTTTTCTGGCATGATCAAGTGCGTCGTTGTATTCTGTTTCTGACGGGAATCCGCCTGACCAAGCAGTGCTCCGGAGGTAATCGTTGAACTCTTGTTCCGACTCGAAAGGGCCAACAAGATGATTAGGTACGCGGACGCTCCTAATAGCTGTGCCCGCCGAAGAGCAAATTCTGTTCTCTCCCCACGGACTTTTCCATCTTCGGATTGCTTCCAAATACCCCTTTAATTGCAATTGGATCGAATCTCGTTCAGTGCCGCTTAGCGTTTTGTAAACTCGGCCCAGTTCATCGCCGGGGATACGAGTCATCAGAATTGATACTGGAGCATGCGGAGTATCTGGATGGTCTCCATAGCAGATCACCTTTGGAACCGGGAAACCTGCTCTCCTGGCGACCTGTGTCGTCAAGACCTCTTCTAACCGAGTACCATCGGACCACTTGAGAATCAGGCCAAATGGAAGCTGAGCAATTTGATTATCAAAAGTAACCCCAACCCAGCGACAATAATACAGAGAGAAGTATCTCAGATATGTGTGGACGATGCCCCATAATCGGCGTACTTTAGGGTGGGTTGCGCGGGTTGTTTCTGGTATTTCGCTGGCCACTGTAGGTGAGATGTGATGTGGCCAGGTAAAATCCGGCATAAAGCAGCGTGGTAGTAACGAATATCCCATCATGGGGCTGCAAAGGGGGTGCAAGAGATTGAAATGGAGTGTTGAGCTTGATCAGAGAAGCTAAGGTAAAGAAATCAAAATAGTTATGCAAGCCTGCTCCGAATGATTTGGGATCAATCTCGCAATTGCGGCATCCAAGTGGCTTCTGTCGTAACTACAGCAACTAACAAGTTAGTTGCAAGAGGAGCAATATTTGCCAGTGTTAAAGGTTTGAAAAACATGGGGCCAATGCATATTAGTTGAACCACAGGTGTTTATCCTGGTGCAGACCGTATGCCGTGAGCTCTTTAATATCCCCTTTTCGCAATTGACGGGAGGTTGATATCCTGTCGCTCGGGCCTACAAATTCCCGCTCTTCAGCGAGCAGAGGTTGGACGTGGAGTATCCGAAGAACCGAAGCACCTCGATCCTAGAAGCTCAGACGAAACATCGACAATTGCCCGGCTTCTGGCCCCGAGATAACGAGTTTGTCGCAGAGATACGAGCACCCTTATGGCTTGAACAATCGGGACCTTAACCGCCATGCAGAGACGACGCCCGCGTCAGCTCCCCGTCTCGTGCCAGTTATGCCGCACCATGAAGCTGAAATGCAATCGCGAGAGGCCTTGCTCAAACTGCGCTAACCGTGGCGTACTCTGCGAGCGCGCGTACTCTGTCAATCCGCAAGGACGCTCATCCTCCTCAGGCCATAACCATGAGGAGATTCTCTCGCGGATAGAGCGGCTTGAGAAGCTCGTCGGTCGATCTGGCGGTCTAGGAACCAACGGTTTACCCGACAAGGAGATATCGGTTCAGTGCCCTGTGGCTGATGCCCGGTCGCACATCATAGAAGAAGAGGGTGACACTAGATGGCTTGAAGGAGTAGGGACTCGTGGAGGCACATTGGTACGATCACTATCCCCGTCCTTCCATTTGACTTGGTTGTCTTTTTGGCTGAGAAGCAGTAATTATGCCAGCTGCCAGGTCTGTCAAGTGGTATAACTTTCCAAGCTATCCCCATCCAGGTTGCCATTGAGCAATCTACCAGCCCGATGGAAGCTGTGAAGAATGTCTGGCTGCCGCCCAAGCGCGAGGCTCTCTGGCTGTTCGAAGACTACACTGAGCATGTTGCATACCTCCACCACATTGTCCATATCCCTACTGTACGCAACATTATCCACAATCTATACCGGAATCTGCAACTTGGCTTGCCTATTCAGCCAAGTCATGTTGCCTTGCTCCTTAGCATGTTTGCCAGTACAGCATATATGCTGAGCTCGTCCAATTGTTCAGAGGTTCTTTTCTCAAATCTGCAAAATGCTATCCAATGCTCTTTTCTGTGGTGTAAATCTGCCCTGGATGTCTTAGAGCATTCTAATCGCACCACAGCTGGTTCTATTGAGGACATTCAAGCAACTATTATTCTGGCTTTTGTGGTTTTCAACTTTGAAGGGTTTACTGCCAGATTCCGTATCCTAAGCAGCAGCGCTCTCTCAATGGCAAGGGATCTTGCGCTTCACCGTATCGATGCTGAAGTGCAGGCGCCACGTACCGGCGCAGAGAAGCCAATACAAGTCGAGATCAAACGGCGGGTGTGGTGGCACATGGTATCCACCGACTGGTACGCTTTCAGTTGACTTACATACATAGTGCTCTGCGCTGCTTCCAAACTGCTAACTTAGCTAGGTTGCTCGCTCTAGCTGGGGGACCCCAGGAGGGAACGTATCTGATCCATCCAGCGCATATGCGAGTTTGTTATCCACGCAACATCGATGATTTGGATGATGTTGATGATGTGGCTGCAGAACGACATACCTTGGGAGATGATCCTTCATTGTCCCAACCAACAGCAATGACCTACTCAATCCTGCGAATCCGCCTGGCTGAGATTTGCAGAAGTGTGGTGGACGCCGTTCCACCTCAGTTTACTGATTGGGGTCGAGTCAACTACGATGATATAATTACGCTAGATGGTCAATTCGAACAATATTTACGAGATCTACCTTCCTTCTTCTGCCTCGATGAAGCCAGTCTTCACAAGAGCCGCGAAATTGACCAAAAATATCCACAACTCGCTGTTCAGCGGTATATAATCTGCAGCACGTTCCATTCTCGACGGTTCAAGCTGAACCAGCCTTTCCTTATCCGCGCTTCCTCTGACGGCCGCTATAAGTATTCAAGGGAGGCCTGCTTAAGGTCGGCACGCACTGTGATCAAGATCAAATGGTTGCTTGAACATGACGGATCTCCCTTTGCTTCAACCCACGTTCGCTTGGCCACCTTCTTACACACGCTGTTCCTAGCCACCGCCGTGCTTGTAATGGACTTGTGTGTGAATAAAAATGACGGCATGGAACAGGAATCCGCGCGATGGGCGGAGGTTGTGGAGGCATGTCGTATGCTACAAGAGGCTGAAAAGAAATCACCCATGGCCACTAAATTCCTGGAGCCTCTGGTCGACATCCTCAAAAAATATCATACTCAGTTACCTTTCATTTCGTCATCGTCTACAGCCGCCCTGCTTCCTCTATCGGCAGCTCCCTCCTATGGGATTTCGACTACGACCGGCTTGGATCGCCCTTCAGTGAATCCAACGCCGATGCAATCCATTCCGTCAATTCAAAGCGATCAAATTCACGCCGACGCAGTCGATACTAACGGCGATCTCAAGGAGGGCGATATCTTCAATCCTAATAGCGACATTTTTGATGAAATGTGGCGGAGTTTTATCGATATGGACCAGCATATTGTGCCACTTGTTGGGCTCACCGATTCTTCATACTTGAGGCAGCCTGAGTCGCACTGAGGCAATATAGTTCAATTGGGGATGCAATGGGAATATGTTTGATTATGCCGCTAGCCATGGTGGTATTTTGAAATAAACGAACAGCAAGATGCACTCTTGTGGGATCAGTTTTAGCTAGAGACTAAAAGCTGGTATTGATACGTTGAACGTCTGACTTCATCTACTAACTACTATTTACGTCAAGTTTCGTAGTAAGTGCAGTACCTCCCGCTGTGGTTGCCTGGGTTTGTTGACAGTTTAGATAACAGAACTAATCATTAATCTATAGTTAGCTTCATGATTCTGAGATCACTCTCGCTTCTACTCCGTACGACTGTTGATCGGTCCCTGGTCCTTGCACCCAGCTGACCCGGTGATTGACCTAAGCTCGGCCCACTTTGTCAAGGTATATAATCCTCGGCTACGTATAATACAAGCCCAATATTGCCCAACCTGAAGGAAAAGTGAGATGTTCAATTTTGACTCCCAGCTTCATTCAAACCTTTACGAAGATCTTGTTGTTCTGGCGCAGACGTGCCCACAAGACAAGCGCGGCACCTGAAAGGAGAAAAGCGCCCGCATACATAGAGAGAGCTAAATAGCCCTTGGGGAGCAAGCGTCCGCTGATGGGAGTTCCAACCAATCCGCTGCAGGCAAGATCAGTTAGCGAATGAATTAAGCACCAATGAACTAATTTAAGGAGTCACTCACGGAAGCGCAGGTGCAACCATCAGCAGACCGATTGCCGTCCCTCGTGATTCGGGAGTGGCTAGCTGAACGGCGCAGGGTGTTTGTAAACTAAACATGGCCTAGGAACTCGGCAGTCCGTTAGCATGTGAGCATTCCATCTGCGCTTCAAAACAGATACTTACACCAGAAGTATATCCATAAGCTAAAGCGAAGACAATGATACCAGCTTTACTGGTAGCCGCTGTCCAGCACATCGCAATGATGCCAGAGAGCGCAATCGTGATAAAGCACAGGTTGAAGTTTCCATACCGGTCGGCTAGGAAACCAGTAGAAACTCTTCCCACCAGGGATGCACCATTGGTCAGTGAGACAAGGTAGAATGCCAGGCTAGAGGACAAGCCATTTGTCACTGCATACGTTGGAATGAAGAATAACGGACTGAATAGGCCAAAAGTAGCCATGGATAATCCAAGACAGAGCAAAATGAAGGTAGGGTTTTTCAAGATCGAAACATTGCTCTTGGGAGCTTGAGACATCACTCCGTCTTGCTGGCGCTTCGTTTCTTGGTTGAAATTCTCTGCATGATTCTCTTGATGCGGCTTCTTCGGTGCTCGAATCGAAATGGTGATGATAATGCAGAGTGGGGCTACCACAAATCCAACTATTCGGAATGACCATCCGAAGCTGAGACCGCGAACATTTAGCAATTGATCTAACATGATGGGCCAAATAATGCCGCCGATTGAGGAACCAGCTATCATGATTCCGGTTGCTGTCCCTCGGTTTTTATCAAAAAGATGCGATACGGTGGCCATTGCTGGAGTAAGGAGGAAAGCATTTGAGATTCCGAGCGTGAGGCCTTGGGCAAGGAGGAACTGGTAGTACTTCTTGCATAGGGATGTCATGAATATCCCGAGCACTGTTCCTACACTGCCAAAAGCTAACAAGGGCTACCAGGGGCATTTCGTGTCAGCGTACGGAGTACCAAGTCGAGTTATAAGGAAGGTCACTGTGCGTCCTCTTACCGTCGGCCCAATACGATCTACCATAATACCAGCTGGAGCAGCGCAAAAGAAAAGCATGAAAGACAAAAGCGAGCCGATCCATGCAATATCGAATTCAGAGTATCCTTTGAGCTCCGCGCGGGCATAGTATTCTTGAAAGACACCGAATGCATTCTGGAATCCCAGGGTGCAGAAGAGGGCTAGCCAGGCACCGACTAAAGCGAGCGTGGAATGAACGCTGATTTGTCTCTTAGCACCTGTCATGGGGATAGGATAAGTTTGTTTTGGAAAGACGTACGTGAATTCACTTTGTTGGTTGACATCGTGGCCTTCCATTCGTGTTTCAGGAACGGGCGGCTGGAAATCGTCCCGCGACTTCGAAGGGGATGTCATGTTTGATACCTCGACTAGTTATAAAATACAGCACCAAGGGAGATTTCAACAATTTGCTTTCTTTGAGTCTCTAGTAAACGGGGTATACCACAGCAGTCTTACCCCGTCCCAGCTCTCTCTATATATATGTTTGCAGTGTACTTGCATTGACCCAGCTCCATAGCCAAATAGGTAGGTATAAACTCCCCTCGGAGCCCCGAAGGCTCCAATCGCGACTCCGCTGGCCCTTCCGGGTGCTTGTATTGTCATGTTGGTTGGTTACTTTGCACTTCACTATCATAGATTCAGGGGCGGATTTGATGCCAAGACCCGAGCTCCTCGGAAAGTCCGATGCTGACCTAAGCAAGATTCCCATAAGTTAAGCACGCCTTTCCGACACCTGAAGAACGTCCTCTTGTTGTCAATTATCAAAGCTCGCTGGATGAGCTACAATTCCATGGGACTCAATGGGGGATCCCAGTATTTAGATAACATGGAAGCTGTTGTAGTAGTTATAAGACTTCGTCGCCAGTCATCCGATGAATTGGCGAGCTTCTTGCACCCTTGTCAGGTTGAACGTCAATACATGCTGAATTCATTCTTCTCATCTCATGGCCGCCCGAGAGCCGTTGGGGTTTGAGATTCTCTTTCTCCTCCACAGTTTGCCTATTGTGACTCACTTCAGGCAGCACTGCAGCCGTTGGCGCTAGTTAGTCCTTCGAAAGGCCAAGACGCGGAAATGGATCCTTGTTTGGAATGCGTGCCAACACGAAATTGTGGCTTTCATTCAAGATGTTGCCTGTTGCAGCCTGCTTCAATCACACTCGGCGTCTGCTGAAGCGGGAGAATGAACTTCCAGTCAGCAATGGATGATTGCTCCCCGCCGTCTATAAAGCGGGTTGTGACCCAGCTGTTTGATGTTGGAAATGGCTACCTACTTCGAACTTGTCCATTTTATGACAATCCATTTGGAAACACTTATCGCCTCACGGATCCGACGCTTACTTTGCTAATACAATGGCTGCTCAGAACTCGGTTCTCTCACAGACACTCCAGGCCCTTACCACGACGAAGATCGAAGAACTTGAGAAGCAGCGGCAGACGTACGAAGCAGCTAAAAATAAGATCCTCGCTTCCGCCCGCGATGCAGGAGATGACATCCGCGAGCGAATTGCTCGCCTCTACAAGGGTGCTCTAGAGCTTCAGCTTTTGCAGGAGTTCGAGTTGCAAAATATGGTCCGCTGGCTTGACCAATCTCGATACGACCCGACGGTCCCCGAGTCGATGTTGGTGAGCTTTGAGACGGAACTTCGCTCGAGCCTAGATCGCCACACTCGCAAACTTGACTTGGCTGATTTGTATTCACGTTTGCTCATCGAATGGGTCAGCTCGCCCGGATCGAATGAGCCAGAACCGGAGCTTCTCGAGGAGGGGGAGGCCTTCGATATTGTGCAAGATATCCAGAAGGAGAAACTGCAACAATTACGGGAAAGGTTTGAAAAAGTCGTCTTTGAACCGTTGATAACGGATGAGATGGAGATTGTGGAGTATCTAGAATCTCTATTCGCTGGCGATGACAGACAACAAGCCTTAAAGCATATACGATCACGAGTTAGTGATTACGGTGAAAGCCTATTCAACACAAACCCGCTTGTTACTAGGCCAGAGTTGAAGGCTTGCATCAAGTCACTGTTGAGGAATGACTTATTGAACGACGAAAAATCGGCGACACTTACTGAGTTTTTGCGCGATGACACCGTCCTCGATGAGATTGCGAATGTCTTGAATCTGAGATATGCCAATCTCGCCAATTGGACTTGGAACCTAGGGGACAATGGGATGCCTGTCGAACCGTAAGCAGCGTTCCTTCATTCAAGATATATTTTCTAGACTGACAATTATAAACTCCCGCCAGTCGCCAAAGCTTGAATGGAAAATGGCGTGTAGTGATGGACGAAGACGTGCTTCAAAGCTTACTTACCCATTTTATTGGCAACAGGTGGTGTGTTTTTTTGAAACGGAGATTGCAAGGCCTCATTAGGAATGCAACTGTTTGGAGCAAAGGCCAGGCTATTTCAGAGCGAGATTTGGCCCTTCGAAGGTATTACCTTCAGGAGAGCAAGACTCCGGGAGAACCAAGTTTGGATGAAGAGCGTTTCGAAGTCTACAACGAGCACTTTTTCCTAGCGCCCATGGCTACTCGCGAATTCGAGGACGCAAGTGGCTACGATGACGATGACAATGTTAATGATGATGATGACGACAATGACAATATGTCCGATACAGGCAAATTGTCGCCAAAGGAAACTAAACAACTTCTTTTGAGGTCCCTGGCGACTGAAGTTCTTTTTGGACGAGCGTTCGACGGTGAAGTTGCAGTCGTGCAGAGCGACTTTCAGTGGTTTGCCACGGGAATCGCCCACAGCACGGTTTTCGCAGTCCTACGATTTATTGGCCTCCCAGAAAAATGGATAGAATTTTTCAAAAAGGTCCTGGAGCCCCCGTTGGATATGCTAACTGGCGAGCCAGTCAGAATTCGTAAACGTGGACTCCCCATGGTACATATATTTGAGAAAGTTTTCGGAGAATTGGTTTTGTTCTTCATGGATATGGCTGTTAACCAACAGGCGAACATGCTGCTATATCGGATCCATGATGACCTCTGGCTTTGTGGGAAACCTGACAAGTGTGCAAAAGCGTGGCAGGCGATGGAACAATTCGCAAAAGTAATGGGCCTGGAGTTTAACCAGAGCAAAACCGGTTCGACTTACTTAGTGGGTGAAGGCCAGCAAAGAAACTTGGATGTTGTCAAAGCTCTCCCCAAAGGGCCAGTTGTTGTCAACTTTTTGGTTCTCGACCCTACCACCGGAGAATGGGTGGTCAACCAAAACCATGTCAAGCAGCATGTCGAACAGCTGTCGAAGCAATTGAATGCGGCGAATAGCGTTCTGCAGTGGGTTAAGACATGGAATACCTGCATCGGCCGGTTTTTCAGTTATACTTTTGGCGAGTACGTTGCTGTCATCCATCATCTAAGAGCCTTGTCCGTGACTGACTTTAGTTCAACAGACCGGCGGATTGCTTTGGCCGCAAACACCTCAATGCAATTCTTGCAACGCATCAAACCATCCAGCGTACTCTTTTTAACGGCCTAAATGGCAATGGTAGCAACGTTGTCGAACATGTCAAAAAGATGATTGCTTCACGATTCAACGTCACCGATATCCCTGACGCCTTCCTCTACATGCCCGAAGCCCTTGGGGGTATCGGCCTTCACAACCCCTTTGTCCCACTTTCTCTTGTTAGTCCTAACATATGTGAAGATCCGGGGGAACTTATCCACGAATTTTTGCAAAATGAAAGAGAGACGTATCGACTGGCAAAGCGCAATTTTGAAGAGCTCTCCGAGACAAATCGTCGTCGGCGCTTCCAGCAAATCTTCCCTAAAGATGAAGAAACCGGCATTCGTCTCCACGCACCGTCTCGTGATGAGGCAAAGGAATTCCTTCCCTTCCACAAATATGTCGAAATGCGAGGGTACAACAATCCAAAGTTGCTTAAATTATTTCGCCAGTTGAATTTGGCGGCAAAGATGAGGAAATTGAATAGCTCCCATGAGATTATCCAGGAGTTGCGGAAGGTTTCTAGATCACTGATTCATCAGCCGGAATTGTCAGTGTCAAAGATCGACCCGGAGCTCGAATGGTTGATGCAGTTCCATTTGCGTGAGCTCAAAGAGAAATGCGGAGGATTGAGCATTGTGGATCGATCATTCTTACCTTTAGGTATCCTGAAGGCGATGAGAAGGAAGAAGGTGGCGTGGCGAATGGCGCTGTGAAATACGGCCTCCTTTGGACGCAGCAGATCTCATAGAACCTCCAGGCTCCTCTACCTGATGATTCCTTCTCGCTGGAGTTAGCAGGCTTTTCTTGGTCGATGGCAAGGAGAGAGAGAAGCTTGGCAGGCGATGAGTTTTGTCGAAGGCTGTATATAATTAAGAATGTTTTACATCATGTGTGAGGAGCTAAGGTAATGATCACCTCCAGAGAAAACAAGGGATATCAGTGCTGCTGGAGTCCTCCATGTAGTATCGCTACTCATTCAGACATGTGACTTCCTCAAAGAATCGTAACTTGTCCACAGATCACAATGCCAGCCAGAATCCTTGCATCACATTGTGTCTTGGTCCTTGACGCCACTCCAAAAACTGAACATCAATTGTTCAATATGGCGTTATAGTGTTGGCACGGCATGACTGCTGAGGCTTGTTCACCAAAGGTCCTTGTAGGTTTTATATTGCTCCACTATCTAGTTACTCCTTGAATTTACATGATGTCCTTAATGTTTTCTCCTGAGGTACTCACTGGCACTCTGTATCACTATGGAGTCTATGATGAAGGAGGTGGTGGATGTGAAGTAATTTACCATTCATTATGAACTGTGATGAATTGCTATTTATTGCTTTTTATCTGATAACAGTACTGTCGGCGCGCGTTGGCTTGAAATCCATCTCATATCCGGCTTTCATCTCAGCCTCTCCGTACTCCAACAAGCTAACAATTAAAGCTTCTGTCTCACAATTTCTTTGCAATCCAAAACTAGCAATTTTCCGTTAAGCCAGGGTCTAGGATATTAGACCTACCAAGCACTGTGATTTCTTTCCAAACTATGCCATAATAACTTGAATAGCGGACTGGTTTTTATAGAGTACTAATTACTGTTGAAATTGTTTCAATCACTCACCGTAGGCATACAAACGTAGGGCTTGCAGCATGGAGGGACATTGTTGTGGCATTGCTCGTAGCGTTTCGCGCAGCTGAAAAGGTGTTTTGGTGGTGCCTGTTGGGTTGCAGGGTTCTGCCCAATGACCTCCGCCGGTCGGACCTCCGGAGCCGGTCGCGGCATAGCAGCAGCGGCGCTGAGACCAGCGAAAATCAGGGGCTGAAGGAGTTGCATTTTGGGAGGCAACCCAAGCATGGGAATTATCTATTAGAAAAATCCGTTGAAGAATGAGTGGCTACAGGGAAGCGTGGAGAAGGTATCGCACTTACTACTGAAGAAACTCGATTAGGGCTGACGTGGTGTGAAGACTGGATTTAGAATACTGAAGACTTGAAGGCCTTCTCTGGGCAATACATATATAGCCAACCCGAGATAGCACTGGCTTACTTTGTATGCATATTTGATGCTGATGGACGGTCGGCATGCTGGGTGCTTCTTTATATGCAACTGGGGACAAGAAAGATATATTTAATATCTGCGGCCATGGCGAGCTTCAAGGACTTTCCAAGATAATCAGAATAAGATATGCCTTTGAAGGCACGGAAAAGGGGTATTGAGAAACATTGGCGTCGTCGACGTATTCTTTCATTGTAAGGCACGTTGGAGATTTATTTGCTCTCAGGAATGGAAGTAAAAACAGTGCCGCTGATCTGGAACAGCTGTGCAGGCTACTTGGAGCACTTAGTCAAAGAGACTGCTTGTTGATCAACTGCTGTGCCTTTATCACCTCTTTCCCTCTAAAAGACATTGTTTCTTGTCTGTTCAAAGTGATGAATAGAGCTGTCAATTGGTCTTGGGATCAGTGAATTCTTCGTTGCATGTTCATCCGCGGCAAATCTAACTAGTTATTTAGTTAGGAACGGGTGAATTGGGGGGAAACGCTTGATTGATACTAAACAGAAGGAGGAAGCTGTTAGTTCCCTCTGGTCATAAGTTTTAGCAATGGCAGTGAGGAAGTAACTAACTCGGTTCTACTCACTCTTCCGGATGCATTGTGACTATGGTTGATTGTTGCATGGTATTCCCTCGCCCAATTGACCCAAACAGGCAGCGCTGGAATGACGAGAACCGCCGTGTCTGTGAAGAGATATGAAGGCCATTGCTGGATCGCCTGCTCATGTAACTAGTTGGTGCAGTCCAGGAAACCCGTACCCAGTACCTTGAAACGCCTATGAATTCGGGGGGGTACTCGGGGTATCAGGTACTTCTCCACCGCCCAGCTGGACCTGGCCGGGCTTGGCAGATGATGGCGTTGGTTGAACCGCTGCTCTCACCAGCTGTCCGAGTGAAATTGATCTCATTCTCCAACGCTTTTGCCATCTTCCTTCCTTGCTGGCCATCCTTTCTTGCATCTCCATCCCCAACGCAATCCAGCTTCATCCCGGAGCCCAGTTTCAGTCTTTGATCGTACCTGTCCACGGCCATTCGTTCCAGCCCGTGACGTGGACGATCCTCGGCCTGCTGCTGTTGTCTCAGTGCGTCTGCCTTCCTCCACCCTACGGATGGCGGGTTGACGGCAAGCACTGTGCAACACCTACATATGGCCAAGCGAACTGCTTCTACTGCTCTTGATCAATCTGGACGGCCCTCGGAGAATCCCATTGCTACAGCCCCATCTGCTCCAATCCCGACCCCTCAAGAAGCTGCTATCTCCTCCGCATCTCCGCCCTCTCTGAGGTAATTCCCGGCTCTATTCTTCGTTCCTCCCTGACACACCTTTATGCGGGAATATTTCTTCATCTTTGCTTCTACGCAACAAGCTTCAAACTCTCCACCTGCCTAAAAGCCCTGAGGCTCTTCTTGAGATTCTAATCTCTTTCCTCTAACCATCCGTCTCGAGCCCTCCCACAAATGAAAGTGGTTCCTCAGGAATAACCAGAGTTCTCATGTCCCGCAGAATCACGCGTTCCGCTGCCAGACTTGCTGCAGAAACTCCGTCCACACCTGGCACGCGTGCTGGTTCAAATCCGTCATCCAACCCTTCGACCTCGTCCCAGACACGAAAACGAAAAGCCCCAACTCGACGTGAAAAAGAATCCCCCACAGCTGAACAAGAACACTTTCCTTCGACAAGCTCACCACCAAGGAGAACAAAGAGGCTGAAAACCGCACAATCACCTGCCACTCGCCCGGTCCCCCAACCACGCCAAACCCGTCGGCAGACAGAGATGTCACAAGCAGGGTATGTTATACTGGAGACCTCGCCTTTTTGTTACCTGGACCGCTTGCGTCTTTTACATTGGAATTTACCGGAATGGGAATATACTACCACTGTTATTAATTTCTAACATGCTTTATAGGTCTTCTTCTCGTCAGACTGATGACACCAAAGGGACGAGATCTTCGTCAAGGCAGAAGTCGTCTAAGACGAAAAGGTCATCTCAAGGTACCCAAAAGAGCATGTTTTATACCCCCATCTTCTTTTTCCCAAGTGTTAACCACTAACATGGAAATCTACCGGCATAGATAGTAATCCACCGCAAAAGTCGCCTCCTCGCCACCAAAAAAGACGTCAAAGCAAACGAGATTCCGATGTTACAATGAAAGACGCAGATGATATTCAGGACGAGAGCGTTGGAAGGAGTGGGGCGGAATCTTCCTCACCAAACGAGGAACGTCTGCCAAACGACTCAAGTTTGCGTAGTGAAGATAATGGAGATCCTTTCCCTGGCCATTTATTTGGGTCTCGGAGTCCCCTAGAATTGCAAAACACCCTTCGAGCTCTGAGCGGAATGATGTCTGGTATTTCGACGCGGTTACGAGATATCCTGGTGAATCTGAGAATGAAAGAGGATCCGTCCGTCCAACTTATTGCTTTACAAGAATTGTCGGATTTGCTACTTGTCTCTAATGAAGATACACTTTCTGGACAATTTGCAGCGGATTCTTATGTCAAAGAGCTCGTCACTTTAATGGAACCAAGTGATACCGGCGAAGAGAATCCTGAAATTATGCTGCTTGCATGTCGTTGCCTGGCAAATTTAATGGAAGCTATCCGAGGATCCGTTGCAAATGTCGTTTATGGAGGAGCCGTTCCAGTACTTTGCCGAAAGCTCCTTGATATCCAATTTATTGACCTTGCGGAACAAGCATTGAGTGTATGTTTAAACCGTTTACTTTACTACTGACCACCCGTCATGCTGGGGCGCGTTTGAAATGTGCTCTTTGCGATTGTTCAATCACTGACTGATGCAGACACTGGCAAAAATATCTGTTGATTTTCCAGCTTCTATCGTACGTGAAGGCGGATTAACCGCCTGCTTGACATATCTTGACTTTTTCCCTACAAGTACGCAACGTACAGCTGTTACCACGGCTGCTAATTGTTGTCGTAATCTTCCGTCGGACTCGTTCCATGTGGTTAGGGACGTAATGCCTACATTGCTGCATGTCCTGTCTAGTAACGATCAAAAGGTCGTGGAGCAAGGTTGTCTTTGCGTTTGCCGGGTGGTAGAAAGCTTCAAGTACAAACCGGATAAATTGGAGGATCTCATCGAACCGGCATTGCTGAGAGCTATTCTCAGACTGCTTTTGCCAGGGACCACTAACTTGATCGGATCGCATATTCATACCCAGTTTCTGCGTGTCCTCGGGATTATTTGCAGGTCGAGTCCTCAACTGTCAACGGAACTTCTCAAAATGGATGTTGTTGATACACTGTATCAAATACTGACAGGAGTTTCACCGCCTTCTGATCTTAGTGACGGAACTGTTAAGATAGACAGCGTTCACGTTATGCAAGCTTTGATTCACCGTCCTCGTGAGCAGATCTACGAGACTCTCAACATTATTTGCGAAGTTTTACCAGGTATTCCTGGCGAGCAGCTTCTAACTAACGATCGCTTGCGCTCTCCATTCGATGATGATGTTTTATTATATTCGAATTCGCACAAGACAAATCAGTCGGTTGCAAAGCGAGTGGAGTCCCTCAAGTCGTGCAAAGACGAAATGAAAAGATTTGCCATGATTCTTTTCCCGACATTAACAGACACGTATTCTAGCACCGTCAACCTCGCTGTTAGACAAAAGGTACTTCTTGCACAACTGAAAATGTTGCAGCATTTGGACGTTCAAGTCATCGAAGACGCACTGCGCAATGTGCCGTATGCGTCATTTCTAGCTGCAATCCTGTCGCAGGATGACCACGTATCACTCGTTGCACTTGCTCTTCGATGTGCGGAGCTTCTATTTAAACGTCTAAAAGATATATATCAATATCAGTTCCACCGCGAGGGCGTCATCACCGAGATTACCAGATTGTCCGAGAAACCCATACCATCCGAACTGCCCGGAAAGAAAGAAAGTAAGACGAACCTCACGGTTGGCCATGATACGGGGTCAGAAACTGGGGAAGATAAATTTGAGGATCATAGTCAAAGTTATTCGCACGACGAGGATGAAGAGAGCCGTGAGGGTGAGGATTATAACGACGATTATGATGACGAGAATGACCATGAACATGGTCACGATGACATGTCAGAATCAGAGGTTTCTTCGTCCTCAGATACGGGGCACCCCACCGCTAGGCGATTTGACAAAGAAAAAATGGTCGTAGATTATGCTAAAGATTTCCTTCGGGTTTATGAACATAGCAAAGCAGTTGGATTGCATGATAAGGCGTTGGAGGTACTTCAGCAACTGAAGACTCTCGTATCCGACATTGCCCTCTGTTACGAACATCCAAAACCACAAAACGGATTTCATCTTTTCCAGAAGCTCTCCTCATATTTTGGCGGGGACGCTGTTGAAAGTATTACGAGTGCAGAGTTACTCAACTCCGGTGTCATCCAAACTCTTCTCGACGTTATTGGTGACGTGCAAGGTGAGCAATTTAGAAACTTCGGCGGTTGAAGTACCTTTATAGCTAACAGATCGATTCCAGCACCAGCTCCTGGGAATCGGGCCAAAACAGATTTTCTCCGCGCTTTTATGGCCCCGAACATATCTGAATCAAATGACGGTGGTGACTATACCACTCCGTTTGGCGTCCTCATTCACAAGCTACAGGATTTGCTTAGTCGAACTGAGCACTTTGAAGTTGTTACTGTGCATCACAATACCTACGAGAGCCGGAATACAGCGTCGATGTTATCTAAGCAACTTCGTCTTCGCCTAACTGCTGAAGACGAATCAGATATCCCAAAGACATTTAAAAGCATCATGGTTTCGATCCATGCAATTGCCAACTTTAAAGCACTTGACGAGTATCTGCGCCCGAGAATCGCTGTAACAGAGCGTTCCAGAGCTCCAAGACATCGCGATGGCCATCTTATGCAACCCGGGAGTTCTTCGAAAACGAAAGAAGCGTCAGGAGAGGGTGCAGAACCCAACAATACCGGCACAGAGGCATCCCAACAGCCGTTATCCTCTCGAATATTCGGCATTTCGCGTTCTGCAAGGGCTAACGAGAAGTCGGAAATTACTACTGGTGGCTCATCGCAACCAGTAAGCCCTGCTGCCTCTAGGGATCGATCCGGCCGATCAAGACGGTCAACGAGACGTCAGCCACCACCACCGCCCCCTCCCCCGCCTCCTGAGGATGAAACTGACGGTTCTGACGAGCCTCTAGAATGTGCGGATGAACAGCCGCTTAGTGACGATGAGGATGAGGAGGAAGAAGATGATGAAGTCGAAGGGACCCTAGACGCAATTGTAGGTGATTTGGAAGGCGACCTTTCTGAAGGCAGTGCTCCAGATCCAACAGCGGTTAATATGGAAATTGCTTCCACTGGGAAAGTTACTGCTCGAAGGGACGACGGGACCAAAGTTGCGACCCCGTCTCAGCTCACGCCCGCCGGAGGCTCTGCATCCACATCCACACCTGCGGCCCAGTCTCTACGAAGCTCGCTTGCTTTGGCCGGACGCCCGTTCTCATCGTTTGCGGCGGCAATAGATTCGATCCCTCAAGACTGGCATATTGAATTTAGTATCGACGGTAAACCGATCGCCCACGACACAACGGTCTATCGCGCCATCCACTACAACCGGAAGCCTCTCCCCGAGAGTTACACTGGGAACGTATGGTCCGCAGTTCACACAGTCCGATTCAAACGCGTTCAAGGACCAGCCCCTGCTGAGCCATCGAGATTAACTCCAACAACACCTTCATCTGGGGATCCTGACATTGGAGAATTGCCAGAATCTTTGACCAAAGCCACGACTACGGCGGCGATTCTAAAACTGTTACGCGTTTTACACCGTCTCAACTCTCAGCTTGACTACATTCTGGCTGAGACAAAGGAACCCATTAAAGTAGTCACGGAGCCGTTGGCACAATTCATTAACACCAAGCTCACTGCAAAACTCAATCGACAATTGGAAGAGCCCTTGATCGTAGCAAGCAGCTGTCTACCGAGCTGGAGCGAAGATCTCGCACGTCACTTTCCGTTTCTCTTCCCGTTCGAGACCCGCCATCTGTTCCTACAGTCGACATCTTTTGGCTATGCGCGGTCAACAATGAGGTGGCAAGGCCCTCAACCCGGAGACGACAATCGCCGCGATCAGCGCCGAGATGATCGTCCGTTTACCCGCCTCCAACGACAAAAAGTACGAATCTCGAGAACTAGGATTTTAGATTCGGCATTGAAGGTGATGGAGTTGTACGGGTCATCCCCCAGTGTCCTAGAAGTGGAGTATTTTGAAGAAGTGGGCACAGGACTTGGTCCAACATTGGAATTTTATTCTACTGTGTCTAAAGAGTTATGTAAGAAGAAGCTAAGGCTTTGGCGAGAACATGACTCTAGTGATGGAGAATATGTTTACAGCAAGCTCGGCCTCTTCCCGGCACCCCTTAGCCCAGAGCAGGCGGTCCAAGATTCTGGAAAAAAGGTCGTGAATTACTTCAAAGGGCTTGGAAAGTTTGTTGCCCGGTCGATGCTAGACTCCAGAATCATTGATATTGCATTTAATCCTACGTTTTTCCGGATCGCCAATAACTTTTCGACATTTACGCCTTCGATCGGCGCTATCAAAGCCGTTGACCCTGATTTAGCAAAGTCGCTCTTGGTTGTCAAACAGTTTGCGAACGCCAAAATTGCTATTGATAACGATGCATCCCTGACACCCGAAGAGAAGGAAAAAACTCTGAGAGAATGCGAGGTTGGTGGAGCGCATCTTCGAGATCTAGGACTGGATTTTACTTTGCCTGGCTATCCCCACATCCAGTTATTGCCGGATGGAGCGGATATTTCAGTTACCCTAGAGAACGTGCAATTGTACGTTGACAAAGTTATTGACATGACACTGGGGATCGGCGTACGCTCTCAAATTGACGCTTTCCGCTCGGGTTTCTCGCAAGTCTTTTCTTATTCCGCCTTAAAGGCATTTACACCAAACGAGCTTGTAATGCTCTTCGGTCAGGTTGAAGAAGATTGGTCTATCGAAAGTACGTTTTTCATTCCCGTTTTTCTACTCCCCCTTCTGACATTAACACCTCTCTTTTAGCATTGATGGACTCGATCAAGGCAGATCATGGCTTCAACATGGATAGTCGCAGTGTGCGAAATTTACTGGAAACTATGAGCAAATTTACCCTTCAACAACGGCGTGATTTCCTCCAATTTGTGACTGGAAGTCCAAAGCTTCCTATTGGAGGTAGGTTTTCTTCAGATCATCTGGATACTGCGGATAGAATTAACCAACAGTTCTCTATACAGGTTTTAAGAGTCTTACGCCTATGTTTACTGTTGTTTGTCGACCAAGCGAGCCCCCCTATACTTCCGACGACTATCTTCCTAGTGTGATGACTTGTGTCAATTATCTGAAACTGCCCGACTACTCTAGCGCTGATATCCTGAGGAAACAGCTTGATGTCGCGATGCACGAGGGCCAAGGCGCGTTCCATCTCTCGTGATTACCGCTTTGCAGAAATTTACCTTAATCGCCCTCTCTTGAATTTGAAATTACACGAATCATTGGTACTCAAATACAAAGCCTGAGTACCCTAATCGATTACTTTCGCCGCCATCGCTAGCCGGTTACCCTCGTGCTATAATTTGTCACCTTTTGTTGTTTCTCTTGCTGTGTCACTAGACAGTTTTAGGTCTTATGCTCAATCATGGTGGGAAAAGTGAATGGACAATTGAAAATAGGCTAATTTGAGGTTTATGGGGGACTTACGCTGGCTCTCTTGGGATTTGGTGTTTTTCTTGTGCGATATGTAGAACCCCACTTTTACGCTCTCGGTCTCTCATCCCCCCTACCTATTTTCTCTGGCGAAGCATATTATGTGGCATTCCCACAGTCTACGGAGTCGAATATGGAAATCTTTACGCAGTAAGCAGTATTGAGCACGCAGTAATACACTGACATTATGTAAGCATGAAGTGAGAATAAGCGCATCACATGCTAACCTTAACTCCACTAGCGCAAAGTTACATTTGGGGCGGTGGAGAGCGGCAGAAACAGTCACCGCCAGCATTGCCTATTATATCAAACCCTGGTGGTCAGAGTGAATGGTTATTGCTGTATAGCAATCTCTCTAGACTCCTTAGATTTCTTATTTCGACCAGCACTCCCATTTTTGGATTTATTTGATCTGCCGTTACGATCCCCACTGCTTGAGCATATTTGAAACAGTTCGCTTTTTGTCCTGAATGGGCTGGTAGGCTGTCTTTTGATTTGCTATTTCTTAGGGTGTTTAGCTGTTTTCGGTCAGTCGCTTGGTGATTGAGAGCTTACATTTTAGCGCTGCAAACTAGGCAGTGAGCTAACCGCCCTCGAACTATGGACGAATTTGCGCAAACCCGTGGCGTTGATGATCTTTTCGACGATGAGATTGTTCCTGTTGTGCCGTCACAAGCCCAGGTCGAGTACACCGAAGATGTCCCATCCTACAACCCTTCACAGCCAGATGCCGCCCCATCTCAAGTCCCGCCAGAGCCGGCACGCACCGATCGCAGGAAACGTGGAAATGGCAAGACTCGGGGAACTCGTGGAGGGCTATATTCTAGAGGAGGGAAGGCCAACGGGCCGGTAAATCGAAATGACAACCAAACCGAGAGTGAACCGAGTGCAACAACTAATGGTCTGGCATCGAGTCAGCCAGACAAGGAAACCGCCCCCGCAACCGGGCCCGAAGCCGCGCCCGAGAATAATGACGAGTTACAAGCAAAGGATGCAGTGAAGCCAAAGGTCCCTGCTGTCCGGGGAGATAGGAGTGCTACTGGTGGCATAAAGAAGGTCCGTCGCTCTTCATAGTATCGGGTTTAGTGAGAAACTCGCAAGACTGATATGTCCAATTTCTTCAGCCTAAACTCACCGAAGAGGAATTATCCGAGCGCATGGCCGCTGTCAAGATAGCGGCTGCAAAGCGTGCAGCGGCACACGCACGCGCCGAAGCCGACAAGACTTCTTTCCACGAACGCGAACGAATTGCGAAGCAAAGACGCGCCGAAGATGCGCGAAATCATCGGGCAATGGTTGGCGAGCGGGAACGCAATAGGCAGAGAAAACTTCAAGCGCAAACCGGTCGAGAGTGGGACGCAGAAAAATCACAAGACGCGTTTAGTGATCGTGGTAGAGGTGGGAGCGCCTATCGTCGAGGAGTGCATGGTGGTATTGCCAGTGAAACGCGTCACATAGAAGATTCCACAGGCCACCATCATGACAGTGACAATGATGGATTTCGCGGGCGCGGCAATAGATACGGTCGTGGTGGACAGGGCCGTGGGTATGGGCGCGGTCGGGGCCGCGGAGGATTCAGAGGTACAAACGAGGCCGCGCAGCCAGACGTGGCCGCGAAGGATAGTGATTCCAGGGCCCCCCCGGCCATTGAAGCTGAGAGTGAATTCCCTGCATTGCCAAGTGGCAAAAGTAGCGAAGCTCAGCCTGTGACGGTGACTACACAGCAACCCGCAGCTCCAGCGACGTCCGATACCCCAATTTCTCCGATGCCATTGCAGGAATCATGGGCAGACCATGTCGATGCACTTCATGAAGCTGCAGCCGAAAAGAAGGCGGCTAACTCGGCCTAAGGGCTTGATGTTCTGGGGCTCTGCTAGATTCTTCGCCCTATTTTCTGCGCCCTTTTTTTTACTTTTCAATTATTGAGATACACCACTTGTCTTCTAATTATCAGCTCACGAATTGGGGTTTCCCCAAAAGTTCTCCTCTATGATCATTGGATATTACCTTGCGGTTATTGTTTCTGGTGCACTTCACCTCTGATGCGTATTGCTTTCTTGTTTTATATTTGCTGCTGGTCCTTTTGCGTTATTGAATTGATGACCTTTTCAATAGCGTCAGCATCTATCAATTTATCCCATAAAATAATAACGGAAATTAGTTTCAAAAAGTGAATCTTCAAGTTCTAACTGCTCGATATAGGGTGTAAAATACTCGAAAAGAATTGATATGTACGTACATAAAGCAAAATTATAGTGTGAGACTTAGACAATACCGAAGACAAATCAAAACAAGTCATTCCGCTTTGCTGCCCTTTCCTCGAAATTTGTCCTTCAACGCGATGATTTTGCCCTGGATTTTCGCTTTAAGTCCGGAAGGAGGTGCTTCATCCGCACCGACGAAGCGACGAACAAGGAGATTAAAAATATTTCCGAATGCCAGCGCAATAACTGTACTTGTCAAAATGATTACATTGTACGGCATACTAAAATCCGGGGTTGGTAGAGGAAGAAGTAGACTTGTGGTACGGAGGTAGGTCAACGAAGACGTTTCTGGACTGCTGTTACTACTACCGTTGAGAATCCTGATCACCGCTGGCGCCACATTGAACCCCCTATTGGCGTCAGGAGGATATTCAGTATAACGTAGGATGGCCTTTTCGAATTCGTAGATCAAAGTCACTGTGGATGCAGCTGGAACGGATAAAACAAGTTCTAATTGAGTTCCACGTTTCCGGTCTATGGCTGGGCGGTAGAAAACGTCTTTGATGATCTCGCTTGGTGCTATCTCCTCAGCTGAGCCGTTTTTGTGCGTTACCGTGGTTTTCATAGTGTGAAGGTATGGTTTCATATACCAAGGGAGGGTTTCAAAATAGACAAAATCAACTGCCATGGTGTCGGATGGGTTGGTTAAGATCGACCTTAGCCCGCCCCGTTCTTGGCCGTTGCCAATCGTGGTTCGTTCAGCGTGCAGAACCGGCTGCGTTGGTGGCACTTGATGAATAGACTCCTGAGCAGGGAGTTGAAGATTAAACGGGATATCCCACAAGAGGGTATAGCAGCGGGAAACGCCGTCAGGGTTTTTTAATTCGGGTGCCCCGGCAGTAACGAGGACTTCCCGTTCGGCTGGCACCTTAATACAAACAGTTTTCTCCTCATCCTTCGAAAGCGGACAGGGTGATGGGATCGTACGCCCAAATACACCCACTAAGCTCCACTCCTTGGTGGCGGCAGAAGCTACAGGGTAGCAGATATCATTTGAGTTATAAGGTTTAGATTGATCACAGACGAGCTGGTCAACAGGAACAGGGCGCGGAATGGGGTTATCTAGGTTTCAATTAGCTTAGACAATTACTAAATAATAATGGGATTTTACCTCTTGGTCGTTTTGATCTATCTATATCCAGCACCATATCCACGGACTGTTCGAGGGTAACGTGGCATTGCCCATTCTCTTCGGAGCAAACAGGGCGAAAATCGATGGACATGCTCTGCCATGCCGCGTCGAAAAGTCGGTGACCATCGAATAGGCCTGAGATACCTGCTTTCCCCTTACACGGAAGGAGCTTCAGGAACGGTGTTAGATTTTCAGTGCACACCACTTCGCCCGGTAACGTGCCATGAAGTAGGTGGAGATTCTGCCCCGAAGGGTGATTTCCGCTAGGTTGAAATGTTAGATAGGGCCTGGTCGTCCGGGTTGAATCAATAAAATTCAAAGATGCGCAAAACAATCCGGACAGCGATTGCGTCAAGGTCATCCATTTTGCGAATGCCCTAAGAAACAAAAACCCGTTAGCCAGACCTTATCACAAGAGACTGCAGGGGAAAACCGTACTCATCATCCGTATTTGCTTCAATCCAAGCCCATAGTTCAACCCCCGTTCCACCTTCTTTAAACCCATGCCATGGTCGTTCACCCCAGCTTTCAGCGTCCCATCGACCCGTGGTGAAGCGCAGATGCAGCTCTTTTGCGCTGGCGTGTTGGAGGATTTGTCCTAGCGAGCGCGGAAAATATCTGAAATTCTGCTGCTCAAACGCCGCAGTGGATTCGTTGCTTCGAAAGTTAAACGAAGCTAGCAAAGAGGACGGCGGAAGGGGTTCGAGGACAAGTTGCTCAGTATAATCCGAGGTCGCAAAGGCAGGTGTCCATGATAGCGATGCAGCGAGAGCGCACAGCAATGGGAAGGAGTGGAAAATCATCCCGACATTATTGCGACAACCTCCGAGATAGAAAATAATCCCAGAAGTCAGCTGCACCGTCAATCCAGGTGTCGATTGTCGTGTTGCTTTGGTGTTGAAGCTCAAGGATGGGAAGTTAGCCGCGCGGTTAAGCAGCTAGACAGCCAACCTATCATGATCAACTCTAGTTATCTTGGCGTGGCGCGTAATTCAGATCTAAGCGCCGACTAAACTAATCCGCTTTAGGAAAACGAGATCGCTGCTGACCAGCCTTGCCTCTGCTGTTGAATCGATGAACAGAGGGCTTCCATAGGACTTCACGCGCAGAGCTCAATTCCCTGGCTAGACTGACATTGCGGCTTCAAGATGGCTGCGGAGCAGCGCAAACTACTTGAACAGCTCATGGGAGGTGAGTACCGATCTTTTTCCCCGGGCATTTGAGACTTTTTTTCTAACTGATATCACTGTCTAGCTGACCAGCTCATTGGCACTGGCGGCTCCTCACGAAATGCGCAGCTTTCGATCACAGATTCCAAAGTCTGTCGATCATACCTGGTCGGCACATGTCCCCATGACCTCTTCACGAATACGAAACAAGACCTTGGACCATGCCCGAAGATTCATAGTGAAGGATTGAAAGCAGAATACGAAGCTGCATCAGGCCACGAAAAATCGAAATGGGGATTTGAGTACGACTATATGCGCGACATGCAAAAGTACATCGATGAATGCAATCGGAGAATCGATTCCGCCCAGCGTCGCTTAGAAAAGACCCCTGATGAGATACGGCAGACGAATAACCTCGTATGTTGTTCCTTAATTGTGGCATTGGAGACTAAGATGCTAATGTCAACAGCTTCGACAAATCTCAGATTTAAACAAAACCATCAATACTGGCCTCGAAGAGGTTGCGATTCTGGGCGAACTGGGTTCCGTATCGCTTGCAATTACAGAATTCCACAAGGCCCGGCAAGCTAAACACCAAAAGGAAAGCTACGAGAGAGATTTAAAAGCCCTCGCTGATACCTCTGGGCCATCGGGGCATCAAAAACTCCAGGTTTGCGACGTATGCGGCGCTTATCTTAGCCGTCTCGACAACGATCGTCGTCTTGCGGACCATTTCTTTGGCAAAATGCATTTAGGGTATGCAAAAATGCGGGAAACGTACAACGTCCTACAGAGAGAGCTCAAGGGGCCGCCTCCCATGCGACATGACGATGGGCCATCCAGTCGTGATCAAGGCTATGACGATGGCGGCTGGGGCTCTAGATCAGGCGGGGGCTACGGAGGAAGATCGTACCGAGGTGGAGGCGGGGGAGGGGGTTATGGAAGGCGAAGAGGAGGTGGTGGTTACGGGGGCAGGTGGTAAATCTCTTGCGTTCTGCTTCTCCTAAAACTTGCATAGCGCAGGCGTTACTCTGGTATCTCTTTTATAGCAGGTTCTGGTTTTACATAACTTCTTTTGATCGTGGTATGTCCCTTGAAAGGGGTAATTGGGATAAGTACGGGGTAGTATGGCACATTCGCCGTTAAGTATTTAGAGCTAAATAAAACTGAACGTCCCTCTTTAAAGCCCGTCAAAGCAAGCTGTCTTCGAGATCAATCCCAGGAGCTCAGGGTTTAAATATGATTATTTATTATCGACGAGTGTTACCAATAGCAAACATTGCTTCCGCAGCAGTGCTACGTTTTGGGCTTACCGCTGACAGTGTGGACGCAAAATCAAGACTGCTGGAGTGTTGAAAAGAAATCCTGTCAATTTTGACATATACACATATAATTGAAAGTTCAAGCACAATCTCAAACATTACAATACATAGAGAGCAAAAATTTCGAGTCCAAAAAGAAAGGGCCCGCAAACAAAACCTGTAGAAATACACATGATATACATCCTTCAAGGTTGGACAACAGTCACAGAGGATGATATCAGAAAAGACACAAACAGAGCTGGTCGGATAAAGACGGGATAGGTAAGCTCCTCCGCTAGTTTCGACAGGGACAAAGTATAGTATTGGCCCAGCTCAAAAGAAAAATCCGCCTACCCGACACAAGATATGATTTTCTAGAGGGATGAAGAGAGGGAAAGAGGAAGAAGAACAAAGCCAAGAGAAGTATTCACATCCCACCATTCGTTCTTTCCAGGAGAGCATCCATTAGCTGTTTATAGCTATTCGCTGCAGAGGGATTCCGCACAAGTATCTCTGCAATCACATTGAATTGCGTGACATCTGCATTGGGAGCTTGTTTCAAAATCTCCTCGATCGTAGGCGACGAGGCAAGTTGTTCTCCTAGGACGTGGATCGCGGCTGCTTTTCCATTAAGTGCTGGGAGAGGTTGTGATTGAGGATATGGCTGCTGCGGCATGGGTGGGCTATAGTGTCCTTGCGACTGTGATTGTGCGGGCGATGGCTGGGGACTATCCGCCTGTGCCAGCGATAATCGAGGGTTTTCTATTCCTGGTGTAGCTGTCAATGGACTGGCTGTGGATGTGGTAGGATCCTGAGGGGTAACAGTGTTAGAATGATTATTTGCCGTCTTAACAACGAAAACGACTAATAAAAGTCGTTCAGGGGTTGGGTGTTCGATAGTATTGTTATCCAGCCCGTCCACGAACTCCGGTTTCTTGCTCATCCCGGCTTCGATAGGTACAAGATATGTGTCTCTGACAGCAGGATGTAAATGTTTTCCAATGACACCATATCGTTGACGTCGAGCGAAGTAGTCGAACAGGTTGTTGAAATTCACGAGGTCGTCAGGTCTATCCGGTGGAGAAACTCCAATTATCGTGATATCTGTGGTTTGACTGAACTGAAGACCACATAGATAGTTGGTTGCAAGTTGGATATCGATACGTCCATCAACGGTCAACGACGAAGGGACCAGTTGAGACCATGGGATCCTTTCGCTGAGGTCAAGACCAGCAACGTGGCGTGCGCTGGCGGAAAAGCTGGAGATCCCGTTCATAAACATTTTTCCATGCCAAACAACAGCCGGCCCAGGGAAATCTTTGGGCGAATATGGCGGAGACTCTGGCTCTTCGTCCTTCAACAATTGGTCAATTTCTGCATCAGCCTGGACCCTATGTGTCGATGGAGGCGGATGCTCCTGTGAAAATGCCGGTGGCCCAAATTGCGGTGCATCATGATGAGGAGCGGCTCCGGGAGACTGGACGCTTGACCATACGTTTTGGATGTTGAAATCGGTCGACGCAGAACGTGCAGGTTCTCCGGGAGCAGCTGCTTGGGTATCGATAGACTGAGGCTTTTGCTGCTGGGGGATGTCCGTAGATCCGGTGCGCGCTGTAGCTGGACTTCCTACTCGAGGACTCATGATATCCCCGACCGTATCTCGTCGCGTAGGTGCCGTGGAAAAGACAGACTCGGTTCCAACGAATTGCGGATCTGATTCCACGAATTCTTCTCCCTTGTGGGTTCGTCTGATGCGGGGGCCCGACTCCTGGACAATAATATGCTGCCGCTCTGCTTCACGTTTAATTTCATCGTCCCTCTGTCGTAGCTCCTCACTGGCCATGTCTTGCGTGCTCATTTTGGAGAAGGCATCAGGAGAAATACGACCTACGAGCAGACTATCACGTAACGAAGGATTCTTCCTTACATTAAACAGTATGGTCCGCATCTGCTGTTTATAGGCATCATTGGGCTCTCCTGACCCCCCGCAGAGGTTTTGATACATGGGCTTGCTCAAGTGCGATCCCCCAGATTCTCGCCTACACTGTCTTTCGTTTTCCCTTCCCGAATTTGAAAACTTTCCTTGCTCTTGTGCTACTCCGGCTTGCTCAACAAATAGCTTGATGATGGCGTTCGCAACATTCTTCCTGGCCTGAGTCAGATGGCCCACGCCGCTTGCTGTTGGTTCCGTAGGGGATTTGCTAAGCTTTGAGCTATGCGAGATAGCGCTTCCAGCCATGCTCGCCTTCCGACTTTGTGCCGGAGACTTCTTGATCTCATGGGTAGCAGCTGGTAGACTGCCGGTTGACAATCTCTGAAGCTTCACTTTGGGGCCCTGGCGTATTCATGATTAGAAAAAGTGTTCTGGAATGGAGGTGAGTTAGCTTACAGATTCGGGTTGTCCAGTCTCCCCCTGCTCGGAGTATTTTCTCTTCTGAGCGCCAACCTGCTCCGGGTTCCCCGTAGACGTAGCCGGTCCGTTCGGAGTTTCTGCATTGGCTTGCATAGCTTCATGCGTAGGCGTTGCCCTCGGACTCGGGCCTATGTCACTTGTTTCCGGTTTGATATCACTGACCCTGCTCTTCCTTCCACGTTTGCCACCCTTTTTGCGCCTGGACTTTTTCTCCTCAGCTGCTTGCGCCCTTCTCTGAGCAGCTTCCTCCCAAGGTCGTTCCCCGCGTGCCATTTGTCCCAGGAGTCTTTCATGATTCTCCGGTTTGCACTGCTCACAGTAATATTCGGCCGGTTCCTGTCCTTTCGCAAAGTTTAGGCCCATACAATCGTTATGCTGCCAGGCCGAACACTGGTCACAGCAAATCATATCGCGCTCCACATCCTCTTCCTCCTCGTACTCGCCACAGACACAGCGGATTATTTCATCCTCCTCGTTCGCAGGGGGCGTGGGTTCATTCGAGGCCTGCTTTGAGGCTTTCGCTTGCGCTTTCGCCTTTCGCTTTGTTGGGGGCGGTTCAGGCATGTCAAGATTCTTGTGTTGGCCTTTCGTGGCTCTCCCGGATCGTCGCGGTTCTTCTGCAATATTATCAGTGGACGTGTTCATTGACGGTTGCGGGGATTGTAAGCAGCGCTCAACACTCTTTGCGAGGCCTCGACGCCGCATACAGACGGGATACAACTGCTTACCAGCCATAGTGAATATTAAGCAGGTAAATTAATCAATAAGCTACGTGGGCCCGGAAGATCGAAAATGCTGTAATTGATTCTGGCGACCAACGAGAGCTCCTGTCTACAGGCATCGAAGGTTGCTAAAAGTAATACACAAAATGTAGACGTGAAAGAGTGAAGGAACAGCAATCCTGTCTCAAACTAGACCAGTTTTACGTCCTTCGCGCTCCAGCTATGTTGTTTGTCCCAGAATTGCTTATCGTTGCTTTCGCGTGGATATTGGAATCGCGCGGGCAAATAAAAGCTGGTCTCCCTCGCGATAATCAACGCCAATTGAATGAATCAGTCGCGTCGCGGCCGGGAGTATGGCGACCAACTCAGCAATTCCAGAGATATGACCGGGAGATGAAGTGGAAAGGAGATGGCGATAGGATGCTGTTTATAAGAAAGAGAAAGTGACTGCTGGCTGAAAATGGCTAGCCTACCATGTGACATAGCGCCGGCCTAGCGGCTTGGCAAATTGTCGTCAAATTGACCCAGTCACCTGATAGAAGGTTACATAAGCGCATTGCTTAACTAATCATTTCCGACGTCAGCGACAGCTTGAAGTTGAGCTCAAGCCTTGAGGACGACAATGTTATTCTCTCTCGTTACAGAGTACATGTTTCTAGTCATATAACCAATCTACCTATGGCTGATGTTCGTGCGCTCCTGCGCAGTGAGCTCGCATCTCGGGCTTCAAGCACCACTGGCCCCGGAAAGAAGCGGAAACTTGAACCTCGCCCAGCTGACATACGGAAAAAATTGAAGCCAACAGCACAGGTCGAGGAGCCTGGAAAGCAAGAGGCGGAAGAGGAACTGGTAGAGGGACCTGAAAATGAAACTTACTCCTCTTCGAATACTACGACAACGACAGTAATTGCCGAACCAGAACCTGCCGTCGTGGCACAAACTCAAGCGACAGAAGCATCACAAGAAGAACCCCAAGCTATTGACGAAGATGAATGGGCAGCCTTTGAGCGCAGTGTTGTTGCGCCTACAAGAATGCAAGTTTCTGCTACTGCAGCTTTAAACTCCGGCGCTACGATATCCGCCGCCCCAGTATCGGCAGCTGAGCTTGCAGCACGCGAACAAGAAGAACGGGAATCGCGCACTAAAGCTCGAGAGGCGGAACTGCAAGGCGAACAGGAAGAAGCCACGCGGTCACTGGAGGATGAATTGGACGAAATGGAACAGTTAGATGAGCGCGTCAAGCGATTGAAGGAGAAGCGAGAAGAAATCCTGAGACGAAGGGGGGAAGGCCTCTCAAAAGACGGCCTTGATAAAGCTCGCAACCTCGAAATGGATACTAAGGACCGCATTAACCGTGACAAGGACACGAATGAGGATGAAGAAGATGAGGAGGATATAGATTCTGCTGATGAATGGGATGATTGGCGCTTTAGGTAGTGCCTAACTTGATTCGATGGTTGTACGGACGTCCGCAGATCTGAAGACCCCCGGTCATCACTGCGAATTATCTTTTACCGTATTTATACTCCCAATTCCCCGGTCAGAGGCTAAGAATGTTCCTATGGGCAATGGACATGGATACAAAGATGGAGGGGTGAGAAAAGGAACCCCAAAGCCTTCCATGCATATGGACTTGCGTGATGCATTGCATTAGCTTCGGCAACGTAATGAATCGTTAAACTCCTGATATTGAGGGGCTCAAACAATTGGAGTGAGTTGTTTATCCAAGAGGTTTGACTCAAATTCCTAGGGCTCGAATTATGAGAGTGACCAGAACGGAAATCATGGCATGATGTTTACGGTGTGATTAGCTTAGCCCCAGAGACCGTCGTGGAATCTAGAAGGCTATATTTTTCACGTTAAATTTTCATACTATGATAGGAGTATAAGCCTATATTGCGCCTGTTCAAGGAGTTACTCTTTTGTGGTCGTGCTCTGTTGCCCTATCTCCTCTAGATGGCTTCTCAGGCCCTCTTTGCCCACAATCATTGCTCTCCGAATTTCCTCATCACCTTGACGAAGCATATCTTTACCATGGAGAAGTGCCCTTTGGTGTTTTCGCTTTTCCTCCTGCACTTTTGCCTCACGATCGGCAAGTGCTTTCTCTCGCCTTTGACGATCTGAGTCGCGTTTTAGCTTCTCTTCCATCTCCTCTACCGAAAAATCACCCCTTTCTGGGGCCTCTGGAAGACTTGAAATAAAAGTCTCAACAAGTGGATTCCTGACCTTTGATGGCAATGAGATATAGCGAAGATCCGTTAAAATAGTAGGGTGAAGTGCCTCCAGGGACGAAGACCGGTTCAGGTGTGGTAGGGGAACCGACTTCAAAAGAGCTAGTAAATCGGATTTCCGAGTACTCTCAGGTAGCTTCAATCGTGTAATGTGATCTCTATACAATTTCTCGCGATCTTTATCTGACATACGGCTCTCTTTCATTTCCGGTTCTTTTCTGTATTTCCGCTTGAACTCCGCCCAGAACAGCTTTGGAGTCGCATGCGCTTCCAGGAGAGCAAGATAGCCTATGCGTGGATCTTTCTTCGCTTCCTTTTCTTTGCGCTCTTTGTTTTCCTGGATGCGATCGCGGCTCCAGCTCGTCCATACCTCCCGTCTGGACTTCATATTTGGGAGTATGGTATATCGTGCATCATCAATGATTTTACCTTCTTCGATAATTTTTTCCCATGGCGTGTACGGGTTTATTCTATAATCGTCGAGTAGATCTCGAAATAGGGCGGCGGCGTCTTCTTCTGTAAGCGGCAACCCTTCGGCCCCTTCTTCCCAGCCTTCTTCTCCAGGATCGCCATATTCCCCAGGGTCTAGCCCGTATTCTTCGCCCATGGCGGCTAGCTGAAAGGCAATATCATCTTCGTTGAACTCGAGCGGCTGATCGGCGGCTTCCTCTGTTCTTGTCCTTTTCGACCTCGATTCTTCTTCATCATCCGTGACCTCGACTTGCTCATAGTCCTCGTCACTGTATCTTTCTTCGATTTCATCTTGATGGTCTCCGATAGGGTGCGTTTGTTCCCTTCTTGATAACTCTTTCTTTTCTGTTTCGACACCTTCTTCATCTTCGCTTGGCTCTCCACGCTCCCTCCTTTCACGGTGCTCTCTTTCTATCCGATCATACTCCACGACGCCTTTGAGCACATAGTCTGGAAATTTCCAGAAACTCTCCTTGGTCTCAGGATTGTGGACAAATCTACGACCGAGCTTTGTTTTTACCAGCAACCAGGGCTCGCATCCCGGGATAGCATGCTTGGACTTCGGGCGATCTTCAGGCTGGCGTCTATCGAAACGTCGCCCTCCACCTAGTGTTGTGCGGTTTGCCCCGGAAGTAACAGCTGCGCTAAACGGAGCGAAGGGGGTAGTAGGGCTGTGGCTAAACGGAGGCTGTGAGGGAGAAATGAACGCGGCTTGGGGTTCTGGAGTTGGAGCAGCGGGTCGCTTATATGTTGACTGCTTTGTGTCGGCATTATAATAATATAAATGGCCTAATGATAGTCAGGAGCCTTGCTGGGAGAAACTTGAACATAGGTAACTCACCGGATGGAGCCCTGTGTTCAGTCCATCCTGGAGGAAGAGGCGGTAAGGGCGTATAAGTAGATTTCAGCATGGCGGAGGCAAATAAGAGATAGAAACCACAATTGAATTGCGTCCATGCCCGGACTGCTTTGTGGTGACTTTGTTCTGGAGATCAGCGCAACTTGCAAGGAATGTGGCTGATTGGCCCAAGCTCTCGATGGACCGAACGCGTTAGGTTGGTTTGCCTGGAGCTTGATGAGCTGCTGCAACATCAAACACAATTCACACTCAACCACTCTTCCTGCTTCCTCCCCCTCAGTTTCGCCCTGCTGTGTATCGATTGACCGTCCGAAAGGAAACTGTGTAGAAAATGGCGAGAAGATACGACTCACGGGTAGGCTCTCCAACGTCATCTATCCATCAACGATGCTAACTCCTCGCCTTGCTCTTTAGACCACCATTTTCTCGCCTGAAGGACGACTTTACCAAGTTGAATATGCACTGGAAGCTATTTCCCATGCCGGCACTGCCCTTGGAATCCTGGCGAAAGATGGGATAGTTCTTGCTGCTGAGCGGAAGGTCACCAGCAAGCTGCTGGAACAGGACACTTCAGCAGAGAAGCTCTACATATTAAACGAGTAAGGGCAATGTACACGGTTCGTAGGGCTGAACTATTTACTGAGGCTGCTTACAGTAATATGATATGTGCCGTTGCTGGGATGACCGCCGACGCAAACATCCTTATCAACTACGCCCGCCAAGCCGCGCAAAGATACCTCCTAACATACAACGAAGAGATCCCTTGCGAACAATTAGTACGAAGACTATGTGACCTCAAACAAGGTTATACCCAACACGGTGGTCTGCGTCCTTTCGGTGTCTCGTTCATTTATGCTGGTTATGATTCTAGGGGCCAGTTCCAGCTCTACCAAAGCAACCCGAGCGGAAATTATGGTGGATGGAAGGCTACGAGCGTTGGTGCAAATAATGCCAGCGCACAGAGTTTACTAAAGCAAGATTACAAAGACGACTGCGATTTGAAAGAGGCTTGTGGGATGGCCGTCAAGGTGCTGAGTAAGACGATGGATTCAACGAAGCTCAGCAGCGAGAAGAGTAAGTGCTGTTGCCGTTCGTCTAAAGCTGATTGGCCGTGCTAACTGGGTAATGCGTGCAGTCGAGGTTGCGACAGTCGGGAGGACGAAGGATGGCAAGATCTATCATCACCTCTGGGGAGGTGACGAGATAGACGCCTTGTTGAAGGAGCATGGTCTCGCCAAAGATGCAGAGCAGCCAACCGGGTAGTTGTTGACTCAAGATAGGCATTGTGATTTCATTGTTAGAGACCAATACAATAACATGGATTTTGCGATGGGGTTTCTCTTGATTCGGGCTTCTTCCTTGATCCACCCGTATACTCAGCCGGCGCGTTCTGCCAGCAGGCTTCCGTTATTTGATTTCTTGATTGGTTATACATACCCGGGATGTAGAACCTGTTTATATTATTCTTTAAGAATCACGCATTCACCAGGGTCATAACGCCCAATAACGAAAGTGTAATGAAGCGCCGGTGACGTGGCACGTTCTGGTGGAACTTTCTCTGCCAGAGTTCTGTCCATCCTCGGCTGGCTGAAAATGAACCGTAGCAGGCAGTAGTATATATACACTTTGTAGTTCTCCCCGCGAAGACAAAGCGCCGAAAAAACGAGGCCAAACCGCAGTGCACAATACTTAAGGTCAATAACATCCGCAGGTCTTGCAACTTATTACATATCTGGCAGGCCTAAAACGGACCTGCATCTTGCTAGATGAAAATATCTAAAAGAAAATAGAGCATTCACTCTATCGATCCCCCTCTTCCTTGACGCCAACGCCTGGTACTCGTGTTGTCAGTTCCATCAAGAAAGAGTCGGGGCCGCTGGATAGCAACAATATAGGTGGTTTTCCTGGGGCTACCACCCTGCAATTGTCGATGTTACGTTCTAGAGCAGCAAGAGAGCTTCAACATCGGATTTCGAACGCTGTTTCGCACCCTCATTCCCCGAGTCTTCGCCTGATGTCGCGTTAACAAGCCCTCAACCATCCCCGCGCCAGAAACCACGTGAGTATGAGACGTAGCGCGCTTCTACACGCGCTAAACGCGCTGTCGCCCAGCATGCCCAGATCTTCGCTGACCCCACGTATTCACAGTCACGGAACGTCGTCCCGTCCGAACGTCAATCGACATGAACGACATCCTTCATCGCCAGCCAGAGTCGACGCGAGGTTGACGAATACATCCGCTGTCGACAGCATCCTGTTTTGTCAGAATGTTGCAATCCGAGCTGGTTTTGTGAACGGGCAAATCAGATGGATGGATGCCGCCGAAATCGAACCACTCTTGAAACAGAAGCAAGCGGCGCATCCTTGGCCGCATTCTATCTGTTTTATCTTGGATCAGGCGCGTAACGATGGTCACCCCGAACATCGACCCTTTGCAAACCCGTCATACATGATGGAAAAATTCATTGGCGGAGAAGGCCTCTTGGTTCACTCCGTACAAGCACTATAAATCTGAATCCATTTTTTCTACTTCTAACCCAATTACCTCCCTGCACCAGCCAGCCAAATTGAAAATTGCAGGGAAACATCTGTCAAAAAAATGCAAAGTCAAGAACATGGTTATCCCGAGAATCCATACCAAACCGTCGAAGAAAGCAGTACCAATCAAAAACTATGCAGTGGAAACTGGGAAAGGCAAAGGTCGTCAGCGTTCCGTGGTTTCTTCCCCCAAAGGCCCTCCGTTTCCAATTATTTCCCCAGGGTTCTCTGTTTCATCTGTCGTTCGTATTCGAGCTGCTTGATCTCCTGTTCCAAGTCTTTGACGGCGGACTGTGACCGTTCAATGGAGGCCTTCATGACGCTGCCCTCGTCATGCCAGCGGCGTATCCGTGCAAGCTCGCCGTCTCGTCTGCGGTACTTTGTCGCGATTTTCTCACACAACTTGCACTGAGTTTGAATAAACTCGGTGTGGTTGACGAGTTTCATGCCGCATGTTTCGCCCATTCGATACTCGTGATTGCACTTGGCGGCAAAACTGCTCCACGACCAGTCGCCGCAGGCATACTTCTTCTGATTATAGAAGCACATTGTTTCTTATCATGGTTAGTTCAATGTCTCCATCTTGCCGGTTTAAACCAATGCTTACCGAACTCGGTCTTGAGAACCGTCTATTAGGTTTCAGGTATGGGCTGTTGCTGTTGGTCGAGGTGTTGATACCGTCGATCGATAGGCTAAGCTTCTTCTATGAATGAAAAGATTGCGATGAAAATTTCAAAGTTGTTCCGTTTCGTTGAGGATTGGCCTATCTTTATTTGCGATTGAGGCTCGAGGGATTCGATGTCCGGTGCTGGTCTTCTGAAACCCCTTCTCCTCTACGGGATATCGAACGATATTTATGTCTTTGGGTGGGAGATATCAGGCCTCTGCGATATCAATCCTAGTCCATCCTTCTCCGCACCGACACCATAGCAGAGCAGATCAGGCTCACCATCGGCTGCGACGGATGACCTGGCTGCCTTCCCTCCCGTTTCATTCACTAAGGTTGTGATAGTTCGTGCATCACCAAGTGGGGTCTTTTTGCCATCAGCCCGCTACGGTGTACGAGGATGTGATTTCTTGATGCAGCTGCAATTCAACTGCTATCAATCTAGCATGGCTGTTTCGCTGTCGTGGCTCCATCGCTTGCCACCGCCCACCCATCTTTTCCATTAGCAAGAATTCTCAATTAAGTTTCCTTGCTCTACCGGATGGTTTATCCTGGATCCTGCGGACCGCTTCTTCGGCCTTTTGCCTCAGCATTCCCTGTTCATCCTCTACGCAAGCTGTTTCCCGAGGCTCACTTGAGCGAAGATCAACGAGATGGCGTCTTTGACAAATGGCCCATTCGTGCCAGCTGGCTCCAATCCCTGATACAACCTTGCAATCTATCGTTTTCCTGATATCTCACCTGGCCTGGCCACATCCGCTTTTGTTCACGAGATTTGCTATAGTACTTGTGATATTCGTTTCCGGGTTCATCGGTTGACCCCACCCGTGTTTGAAATACCCATCCATTTCGATGTTCGATGACTCTGGCCAATTGCCAGTCTTTGGTAGCCTTGCGACTGGCCTGTACCTTGCTTGGGGACTGGCCCCCTTCGCCCGGGTGTGACGACTTTGGCTGATACGTTCACCCTCGTATGGCTATCTCCACTTGTGCAGCCTGGATCGACGATGGACTTTCATGCATAATATCTACGCCTTTTTCTATGGAATCTAAAGCTGCCACCTTTCCATTACTGGACTAGATTTAGGAAATCCGCACTTGGAACATCTTGCTTCGGCATGCAAGCATTTCAAGAATCAAGTTTCGAAACCCCTTTTCTGTTCTCTTGGCTTCTGGATACGGGTATACGCCACTCTTGATCGCATAATGGTGTTTCACGATATGCGGACGCAAGTTGATCGTTCACTGCTCAATCTGTCGAACCTGTCATCCGTTGCAATTCAGTGACCCACCCCTGAAGTCCTAGCTCAGAAACCCATACCATCATAGTACCGTTGTCATCAGAGATGCGGATGTTTCTACTCAGCATGGCATGGATTTGACATCTCAGTTCCACTGCGAGTGTTGCGCCAAAGTCCGCCAGGGTTCATGACGTGGCAACCAGCGTCTGGCTAGGTGTGCCCATCGTCTCAGTCAAGGCTGATAGGAATGTGGAAAATTTATCGCCTTCCTAGCAATTCTATCCCAAACCTCTGTTTAACGTCATGCTCAACGCCTTGAGCTAAGGCGTATCCTTGACCTTATTTGCCTCTTATATCCTGCCAGGCCAGAGCGCTTCTAGGCAGAAATAGACAAATCTCATGAGATTGCGGCGCAATTGATCCATTCTCGTGCGAACGGGACCATCTACCAGGAAGCGCAAGTAAGCCCAAGTGTGCTGAAACAAGGCTACCAACAAAACGTGAACAGCTCAGCTCAACATAACAAAGTTGCGCTTCAACTAATTCAATGCGTACCAAATCTAAGCGTACTTTTCCATATTCATAGCTTGAATTTCTTTTTCTGTCGTTCTCGTTCTCCGAGGGTAGTGGGATAAGGGGCCAAAACATCCTTCCACAAAAACCCCCGGCTCACAACCACCGGACCTACCCATTGAGTAGGCGCGGGTTCTAATTTAACAATTCCTTTACTGCTTGAGGATGAAGCCTTTTTCGAAAACTGGAAGCGAGATACCTCTTCATCAGATTCGTATCCAAACAGCTGGGTCCAAGCTACTCAGGTGATCCAAATACCAAGTGAAACGCACTGTTGAGCAACTAGCTATATCAAATTATAGCTGCAGGAACGCATTTTGGAGCTACCATGTGGGATGCTAGTGATGTGTTCCAATTCCACTAGATTCCAAACTGGTATGCATCTACCCCGTTGCATTAGCTCACGGTCGCATAATGGATCCATGCCCATCCTTATGCAGCCTGGTGCATGTCTGGGTCCCTGTTTTACCAAGCTCGTCAATTGCTCTCACTAGCGAGCACAACAAGTCATACAACCTTGCCATCGACTCTCCCCTAGTTAAGTTCAAGGCGCGAAACTAGGATTGCTTGACAACTCCCTTTGGCCCCTTAATGTTGATTCAACTCTGCTCTCTGATAGCGTGCTGTTGCAGACGACGTACAGTTCTTGATGTCCCTACAAGAGTAAACGGCTAGGCTGCAGGCGCTAAGCCTTATTGGTGCCACATTGCGCGCCCCTTTTTGCCTATTAATACCCCGCCTGTTTGCCAGGTGGCGTGGATACAGACGGAAGCGATCCCTTGGGTCTAATATTATTCCTCAATTGGTGCTATCAGCGGTTCTAGCTGTAGGCGTCCCGTCTTTGGTAGCCAACAACTTGTTTCGTTTCGGTGGATCATTCCATAAATTGACCTTCCTTGAAAACAAGGTTTATCATTTGCCTATCAAAGGTTCCCGAGAAGCCAGGGTCACGGAGGGCCCCGACCGTTGCCTTGAATTTCTGCGACTTGATGGTGATAGTGTGCCCCCAACGCCATCTATCTCGGGGTCTGAGCGGTCAATGCAATCATGGAGGCATGCTAAGACTAGGCGTGAACGGGTCACATTCGCTTCCTACCATAGCGGCCATTGACGTGTCAAAGGCGTCTACTTCGATCTCTTATGATGCGCCGTCGAATGAGGCTGACAACCGGCAGGGATACCCGGTTCGTTAGATTTTCTAAAACCCAAACTTTTCTGCCCGACTGAATATGGGGCTTTTTTCAGAAACCCTGCCCTTGGCCCATGATTCTGCATTACCCAATTGGGTGGACAGCTCATCCGATGAATTGACCATAGTACCCTATTCGCCTTGTCGATGTCAATCGGTGGATTTGCTGCTGTAAGATTGGTGCCCCATAAGTCGTTGTTGGTATGTATGTACATACATACTGTACTTCGACAGTCTTGTTTTCGCCTTGCGCTTTGATTTGGATCTGCCGAATGTGACTCCATGCCTGGTTAGATCGCTTGTCTTACCATCAACTAACCAAGCCCCGCGACCTATCTAGGTTTATCCTAGATGACAAGTCTGTGCCGCCGCTTCACTCTCTGGTATCATGTCTCTCAAAGCTGCCACATCGCGGCTTCTATCTTTGCCTTTTTGGTTCAACCACAAGCCTTCGTTCAGGCTTTCTACGATAGATACGAATTAATGCTGCAGAAGTCCTTTTTGAAGCCTTATGTCTCAGATTCCTTTCAGGATGGCAGGTTCTTGCCATGTATGCTGCATTTTCGTCGGCGCAGTGCCATATCCTACTTCAAAGCCCACATCACAATCCCCTATCGAGCGGCATATCAATGCGGCTTTTGAGATACGCCTAGCATGGTGCAATGTTTATTCAATCTTTCCATGAAGCTTCTGTACGCTACTCTCCCCCGCCCCCTAGCATGCGGGTTCTGAGGGTCCGGCAATGCGTTGATAAATCCCTTTCCTATGGCTCAGCGGAACTATAAATACAATGACTTTGGAATTTATGGCATCTGCTCGAGAGTGCCTTTCAACCCTTTGAGAGCTGACTTTCTTTCTAACAAACTGGACATCAATCCAGTTGTCTTGATGGAAAAGGGGGAGATTGACTTAAACGGCAACCAGGGCTTAGGGCTAATTGAAGCCCCTTGCCAAGCCTTCATGACGTCACTCATCTTGCTTCTGCCAATCCAAGAACTGTTTACGTCATCATCACTTCCTGTTCCTCCAACCTTGAGGGGGCATACTGAACTGCAAGCAAGAAGTGGTCAATTGAGTTGCTGCATTTTCAATCTTTCTTCAAACTGCCGATAAAGGTAAAACTATTTACCTTGCGAAAACATTGGTATGGTCTCTATTCTCGAGCGTTGATTGGCATCAGATCCCGTAACGCACTGACTTTGGACAAGCTGACAGGAAGGCTCTTCGTCAACAATTTGGATTGAATTCACTCGAAGTACCGTACAAATTTTAACTGCTCCGTCGAAGTGTTACTATGTCAGTCTTTACTTCTGTTGCTAAGCGGGCTGGCAACCGAATATTCACTGCGACGCGGCATTCGAGCATTGCTACTTCTTCACTCACATCCTCAGTAACCACCTTACCGAGCACCGGGGCGAACGCAAAGTTGTTGTCTACCTCACCCATCCTTCGACGCAGCGTCTCGAGCAGCAGCCAGCGGAGCACCTACGTGGACGAACATGACCCAGATAGCCGCTACGCAATTAACACAGAACGGAACGAATATTCGAAATCCGGGACTGATAACGCAGTCGCAGCCCAAGATTCGGCCTGGAATATAAAAAATCAGACGCCGGAGAGTGCCAAGGAGGAATCTGAGAGAGAATCGGCCATGAATGGAAGAGGCAAGGCAAGCCCGCTTGATGTTAGTCCTGCAAACCAAGAAGTTTCGAGATTTACGGACGAGTCCGGGCGCGGCGAGTCGGTTGTGCACGGTCCGAGCAAGAGGGTGTCGCCGAGAAAGGGAAAGAAAGTGGACTACGGTGGAGGAGCTTCTGCAGAGGCTGGAAGTGGCCATGACTCTACAAAGATGTAAAGTAGAGCTGCTTTGGAATCAAGCCACTCACCGGGGGCTTTCGATTGTTGTCCAAATGTTGTACTGTACACATGATGCCGTGTCCTCTCAACCAGTTTCTATTGGCATGATTTAGTTTGTTGGCGTTTTGAGCATAGAAGTACATTCTGCAACTGGTTCATTTTCGCAATAAAAGGGTAAAGACCTGGAGACAAGTCCTTGGCTTGGCGTTGGATTATATAAGCACTAAGTTAACTAGCCTATCAGGCTAGCGCATTTTGGCGGCGTGTTACATAAGCACATCCAGCAAGCACGCAATTTCGCGCGTCAATCAGCAAGCAATTGCGTGATTTCTCCTGGAATGCCGAAAGAGGGACTTTCTCACTGTCAAGCCGGCAAAATGCCGCTGACGCTCGGGTTCAGCAGTCGTGCTGGACTCAGGGGCCTAAAGATGGAGTTGGCTCCTCAACTCCATCAGTTTTTCCCTTTTTCTTTTCATTCTCGTCTGTTGTTATACCAGCACTGTTCCCTGTGTAAGGTGAATTGATCAGTTCATCTCCCGTTCTTTCTCTCCTCTTCAAATAGGCGATATTGCCTAGATACCACTATCTCTGAAAATGAGGTCTTTAGAGCCGTCTTCGGCAGGCTCCCCTGAGACCGCCCTCCAGCGAGTCGACCAAACACAGCCTGTGTCGTTGGCCCTGCCTTTTGGCCGCCCAATTCCCTTCTCTTCAATCGGCGGCCCGACCTATGTGACAGCGCAGACTCTGGTTCAACATGTTGCCTACGCTCTATCCGACAAGTTATTTGCCTACTCTCCAGAAACCTTTGGGCTCGATGCTGCCGTGAGAGAGTGGTTCTCCCAATCCGAAGCAAACGCCAATGGCTATCCAACAACTGTGCAGGCAATGGAAACGCGGCAAGGTGCTGGTGCCATTGCTCTAGGATACATTTTCTCCAAAGACTTTGACCTCAAGAAACGCCATATTCCTCAGTCGATAATAGCATCTTCTGCTACATTGCAGTATATGCGGCCTGCCTTGGAGCAGCTGTCTTTGCTTTACTCGGTAGCGAACCCGCTTGTGGCTCATATTGCCGCAGCCGACTATATTGGCGGACCTACCAGTGGACTCGTTTCAGATTATGCCACAGCTATGAGTTTGGTAGAGGACTTGGGTATGGGCCTAGTTGCTAGTCAGTCCGCACATGAATCGCAGCACATGGCATTGCTTTCGACGCTTCTGGCAACCCACCTTCCCACTGTCCATATCTACGATGGGGTTCGGGTCGGTCGGGAGACGACCAGAGTTGTTGATACGCTTGATCAGCCTGGTCTTTACAATGCATACAAGTCTGTGCTCGCAGGACTGTCTGGATCTGACCAAAAGCATCTGGATGATCAGGGCAAACTTCTAAGCTTGCTGAAGGCTTTCAACAACGGACTTGGTACTGATTATGCGCCGTTCGAATATCATGGCCACCCCGAAGCAACCTCTGTTCTCGTGACTTTTGGCTCAATCGAATCCTCGTTAGCCAAGCAGGTTGCTACTCGTTTAGCAGAACAGGGTTCACGTATTGGTGTTGTCAATGTGCGCATCTACCGTCCTTTTGTCGAAGATGAATTCATCAGGTCCCTTCCCAAGTCTGTTCGGAACATTGGTGTCCTGGGCCAGGTGCAAAGTGATTTGGCAGTTCAAGAGGATGGCATGCACGCCACGCTTTACGAAGATGTACTTGCTACTTTAACCTTCAGCAGTGAAATTCACCTTCGCCAGGGCTGCACTGAGATCAAGTACTCGCCTCAGGACACTTGGAATATCCCCAAAATTACCGCAGCCTTCCAAAAGGTCGTTGAACAGCCACTTCTCCAGGCCGAAGAAATCGAAGCCGGTGTCTTACAGCTGTTGGATCCTTCAATCCAGCAGTATACCTTTTGGCACGTCGATAACGACTTTTCGAGCTCCGCCGCCCTCGTTCTTGCCCAAGCCCTTGCGAAAGATTCATCTTTGAATGTTTCAAGCAACACGACCTACGATAATCTAATACTTGGAGGCGTCCTCCGTACTGATATTCGAAAGGGTTCGAGAGTAAGCGACGCTCCATATCCTGTGAACTCCGCAGATGTTTCCTATGTTGGTGATATCCGCCTTCTATCGCAAGTGCAAGTGTTAGCAAGCCTCAAAGCCGGCGGACGAATAATTATCAATGCTCCGGGCGTCAACGACGAAGATATCGAAAAACGACTACCGGCATCGTTTAAAAGTGCCGTTGCACAGCAAGGTGTCGAGTTGTTCATCCTGAACACAATAGACTGCCAAGATCCTAGCCTCGAGCCCTTGGCTTTACAAGCTGCTTTCCTACGTGTCGCACTCCCCGATCTAGAGCCGGTTGGCCTGCAAAAATTAGCTTCGTTTCTCAAAAATGATGATGCTGTTGAGAATATTGCCGCAAACGTCGAAAACATGCTTCGAAAAATCGAGATCGCTGAGTCGTGGAAGGTTGTTGAGGATGCAGCTTATGAAACCGAGCAGCTCCCAATCGATATTCGCGGTACTAGCTTCGCGTCATTCGACAAGGCCGAAATCCAACCATCATCCCAACTCGAAGGCTGGCAAACGATTGCAAAGAGCCTTTGCTTCAAGGAAGCCTATGGAACGGCAAACTCGCTACGCCCCGATCTCTCAACAAAGACATTCACAGTAACCGTTCAGGAAAACCGAAGACTCACACCCGTCACCTACAACCGAAATATCTTCCATATTGAGTTTGATCTTGGCGACTCTGGTCTCAAATATGATATTGGTGAAGCGCTTGGTATTCACGCTGAGAACAATCCCGAGCATGTTCATGACTTCATCAAGTTCTATAATTTGGACCCCAAGGAAATTGTCCAACTTCCCTCCCGCGAGAACTCAGAAGTTTTGGAAAGCCGGACCGTTTACCAAGCTCTCACGCATAATCTCGACATTTTTGGAAAGCCACCAAAACGCTTTTATGAATCTTTGGCCGAATTTGCAACTGATCCGAAGGAGAAGGACCAGTTGGTGAAGCTGGGCGGAACCGACGGCGCAGAGGAATTCAAGCAACGATCTGAAGTCGACACGGTGACGTATGCTGATATCCTCCAAGAGTTCCCATCAGCTCATCCCAGTTTCCACAATCTTGTCAAGATTGTATCCCCCATGAAAAGACGAGAGTACTCCATCGCTTCTTGTCAAAAGGTTACACCGAAATCCGTTGCCTTGATGATTGTTGTTGTCGACTGGGTTGACCCCAGAGGCAGAGCCCGTTATGGACAGGCGTCTTACTATCTGAGCAAACTGAAGGTCGGCACAACCCTCACAGTCAGTGTCAAGCCAAGTGTCATGAAATTGCCGCCAAAATCCACACAGCCGATCATCATGGCCGGTCTCGGAACTGGCCTCGCTCCATTCCGTGCCTTTGTTCAGCACCGTGCCCTCGAGAAAGCACAAGGCAAAGAAGTCGGCGCTGTTCTTCTTTATATGGGTTCTCGCCACCAGCGTGAAGAGTACTGCTACGGAGAGGAGTGGGAGGCTTATCAAGCTGCTGGAGTGATCACACTGCTAGGCAGGGCCTTTTCCCGTGATCAGCCGCACAAGATCTATATCCAAGATCGGATGCGTGAAACTCTGCCCGAAATCACACGGGCATACCTGCATGAAGAAGGTGCTTTTTATCTTTGCGGCCCAACATGGCCTGTTCCTGACGTGACGAGCGTCTTGGAAGAGGCAATCGGGATTCATGCGAAGGCGAATGGCAGGAAGGTAGATACAAGAAAGGAGATTGAGAAGCTGAAGGACGACTTGAGATATGTTTTGGAAGTTTACTAGGCTACGTTTCTAATTTAAAAGTTGAGTTGTTAATATATATTCGAGACGCGCAGTCCTCAACATATCATGCTGTTTCTGCTTTCTCTTAGACCAAGAGGGGGTAATCAATAGAATATAGTAATCCATATTCCTACTTCATATATATTCTATGCTGCGTTTAAATGTCTTGAGCATCAATGCGAGATCTTCTATCGGGGCCAACAAACCCCAAAGTACCTGGAGGCATGCAACAAGGCTAAATAATCCTAAACTCCTTCGATCGCTAGTATATGCATCTAAACATCGTACACCACCCCCTTCGTTTTCCCGTATGCACCGCCCTTTGCCTTTTTCAATTCTAACGCCCTTTTATAGGGAGGCGCGGTAGGCGGCTGGACGGGGTCAAGACTAACGTGGTCTGGCGGAAGTTCATATGAAGCATCGGCATCCCACGCCGACAGATCACCACACGCGATGAATGGCGGAATCCACCGCATATTATCCGTCTCAGTTGTCTCCACGGTAGGCGAAACCCCAGATTTCGCACCGCCAAAGATAGGATTATCAAACCCGGAACGGGACTGCCCGTTGCAATCTACTGGCGGCATAAACCCTTCACAGACCACGAATGCTTCAAGGCTGCTCGCTCGACTGCTTCGTGGTTTGGCGACGGAAACCCGTTCAAATACGGTCTTGAGTTGCGCGTAGATGAGGTCGACGTCTCGCCCGCGGAAGATCTTGGCCACGAATTTACCTCCAGGGCGAAGGACGCCAATGGCGAGATTTAGCGCGGCATACAGGAGCTGGGACTGGATGTAGATGTCCAAGTCGTGTAGACCGGTAACATCTGGCGCGCCATCGGACAGGACGAGATCAACAGGGTGAGAGTGTGGTTTGGAGGGAGAAGGGGTATTCGTATTTTCAGAGTCGGTTTCATCGTAGAGGTCAGGGTCCAAAGCTTTGAGGAGTAGTGGGATGGTAGAGGGATGTGTGATATCTGCTTTGAGAGTGGCGATGCCCTCTAACGGAGCCATGGGCTGGAGATCGATGGCCACGATACGGACGTTTTTGCGCGGTTTGAGAACCTGGGATTCATCCAAGGCCGCCTGTGAGCTGTGAGCAGCTCCTCGAGAGGCTCCTTGTTCAGTTTCCAATCGCCTCAGGTCCTCTACCTGCTTCTTCCTCTTGTCCTCCCAGGCCCTTCGTCCAAAACTCTCCCCTTTTATCAGTACGCGACTAAGGACCTGACTCCAGCTCCCTGGCGCAGCGCATAGATCCACCACGCGCGTCACGCTGTCCGGGTCAGAATGCGCGAAAAGGTCGAATTGTTCGTCTATCTGAATCAGCTTGAAGGCGGAGCGGGCACGCCAATTCTGCTCTTTGGCCAGGCGATAATAAGCATCACGCTTGTCCTTGGACGACTTGCCCATTTTGGCAGATGTTGCCAATAAGTATTATATGCAATGGCACGAATTCGCGGAATCCGGAGGTTCAGCTTGGAGTTCGGTGGGATATCAAACTAAATGCGCGATAAGATCTCGCGCTAGTCGCCGTGAAGTTAAATTTTTTGTTCAAACTCGCAGCTCAACGACGAGGGTTGCAAGGTCGGTCCGAGTCTGCGTCAGAGGCAAGCCCAAAGGAAAGAAGATCCAAATCAATGCTGCCATGGCTATAAAGCGCTCTCGCAACCAGCAAAGCCGCGCTGTCAAAGCGAACAAGCGACGCAAGGTCGACGCTCCCGCTCCAAACGGCGCCGAAGATTCGACGCAGGATATTGTGAGCGTGGACCAGCTGGACTGGAAAACTGTTACTTTGCCTGACAGGATAGACGATGCTGAAGGATTCTACGGACTAGAAGAAATCGAAGGCGTGGACATTATCAGGCCAACTGGGGGCGGAGAAATCAAATTCAAGGTCAGTATTCTTGCTGGATGCCAAACGTCGAGCTGTTCTGACAGATTATTTATCCTAGGCATCTAAGTCTAAAATAAAAGGTATCCTCAAAAACTCCGCCGACGCCGCAAACGCAGGTAGCGAGAACTGGGACGAATGGAGCGGATTTAGTGATGATGAACCCATTCCCGCAATCGACCAAGCAAAGGACGATAAAGCTGATGGGAAAACCCACAAGAAAAAGAAGGGGAAGGATAATGCAAGCAATGATACAGCGGTGAATAAGCAATCGAAAGAGCGTGTCCTTCGCGAAGAGAAGGAGAATGGGATCCAGGCAGGAGTGCCCTTTTCTGCATTGCAAGATGAAGTAGAGGAGGATACGGATGTTTCGGCTTGGGATCCTCTGGGTCTGCGTGCCGAACTGCAAACCAGCCTTGCAAGACTTAAATTCTGCTCGCCAACGCCTATCCAGTCCGCATGTATTCCGGCTGTTCTCCAAGGGCACGACGTGATCGGAAAGGCCTCGACCGGTTCAGGCAAGACACTGGCATTCGGCATACCGATCGTTGAGCACTATCTTGGTCGATACCCTACCGGTCAGGCACCAGCTTCGTCGAATGAGGACGGCACCTCGGGAAAAGCTCCCATAGCACTGATACTGTCGCCCACACGAGAGCTCGCGCACCAGCTCAACAAGCATTTGACAGACTTGATCAGTAATGCTCCGCACACTTCCGCCAGAATCGCATCCGTTACAGGAGGATTGTCTATTTACAAGCAGCAGCGTTTGCTTGCTGATGCTGATATCATTATCGCGACTCCGGGCCGACTTTGGGAAGTAATAGGATCAATGCCTGGGTTCCTTACGAAATTGAAACGGATAAAATTTCTTGTCATCGACGAAGCGGATAGGCTGCTAAGTGAAGGACATTTCAAGGAGGCGGAAGAAATCGTCAATGCACTCGACAGGGTAGAGAAAACCGAAGAGGGTTATGAGGAAGGTTCAGAGCCTGGATCACCGGAGGAGGAAGAGGAAGAGCAGCGACAACGGCAGACCCTGGTTTTCTCCGCAACGTTTCACAAGGGATTGCAGCAAAAGCTTTCTGGAAAGATTCGATATCGGAATGACGATTTGCTTGATAAAAAGGAATCGATGGAATATCTTCTTCGAAAGCTGAATTTTAGAGAGGAACGCCCGAAATTCATTGATGTCAACCCAATTTCCCAAATGGCCGAGAATTTGAAAGAAGGATTGGTTCAATGTGCACCCATGGATAAGGTATGTGTCTACCTGGTATCGGCAGCTTTCTGAATTCTGTTAACGTTGTTTTTACCAGGACTTATTTCTCTACTCGCTTCTTCTTTACCACCCAAAGCATCGCACTTTGATATTTACAAACTCCATCTCTGCTGTCCGCCGCATCACTCAGTTTCTCCAAAATCTTAGCCTTCCGGCTTTCGCACTGCATTCATCAATGGCTCAAAAAGCACGGCTTCGCTCCGTTGAACGGTTCTCCGCCCCATCCTCCGATCCCTCATCCATTCTGGTTGCCACTGATGTCGCAGCGCGCGGTCTCGATATCAAGGGCATTGACCTCATCGTCCACTACCATGTGCCCAGAACCGCGGATACTTATGTTCACCGCTCCGGCCGAACTGCGCGAGCTTCCGCCTCTGGAAAATCAATTCTGATCTGTGCCCCTGACGAGACTACCGGTGTAGCTCGGCTCGTGGCCAAGCTCCATTCCAACACCAAGAACGCAAACGAAGAGCCCAAGAGAAAAAAGGTTTCTCTGCAGTCCATAGACCTTGATCGTCGCATAATCGACCGCCTCCGCCCACGCGTCACGCTTGCCAAGCAAATCACGGAGTCCGTTCTCGCCAAGGAAAAGCTGTCCTCGGAAGATGACTGGCTGCGCTCCGCGGCGGAGGATCTTGGCGTAGATTATGACAGCGATGAGTTTGCGGAACAGCAAGCCAAGGGCACAGGCAAAGGACGCGGTCGTGGCGGAGGGAGACAGGCACGAGAACAGAAAGCTGCCAATCTCTCCAAGGCTGAGATGGCGGGGTTGAGGGCACAGTTGAAAGGGTTGCTCTCTAAGAAGCTCAATGTGGGCATTAGCGAAAAATACCTGACGGCAGGGAGGGTGGATATAGATGCCTTGTTAAAAGGGGAGGGGAATTCCGCGTTTCTGGGGCACGTTGAGGAGTTGTCGTTCTGATGTGCTGCAATCTGAGCAAGCATTTCCACCCAGGTATAATAGTAACTAGAGAAGAATGAATAAAACAAAGAATCTATCCCTAACCCAAGAAGACAGATTCCCTATGAGCGTTTAACCCATACCCAGTATAGTTTTCCACTAAGAGCTACATGTAGCGGGAATTGAATAATCGTGGTAATAATGCAAATCAGAATATCTAGTTTTTGGACATACAATCCCAAAGCAAAGCGGCCACACCAACGATATAAATGCAAACGCCAAACGGCGGAGCACAGAAATCTCATTAGAAAGTAATCTAAAGCTCTTTGCAACCTTTAGAGATCCATGACGATGCGCTCTTCCCGATCCTGTCCCGGTGCCCAAGTAGAGTAACGCGAATGGATTTTGTTTCAAATGACCTGTGCTCCTGTCTCTCGATCAATTCTCTCGCAAGAGCAGTCCCATCTTTCTCTGCAACCTCGTCTTAACCTACACATCATGGTTAGCTAGAAGGAGAATCAGGCTGCTCTCAGATCGTACATACAAATCATAACACTGCCTTCGGGCTTTTCCAAACTCCCGCATGCACGCGATGTGTATACCCGCATAGCATCGCGAGCATTTTCGCTTTTGTTTCCGACACTGGGCCTCCCGGCGATCCGAGAGACTCGGGGCTGGCTGTGAGGAAGTTTCGTCGACCTCGAAATCCAAATCGATCATGTCGAGATAATTGTCGATGTAGCCTTTGAGTCCGTCCTCGACTCCGTTGGTTATACTGCTGGTAGCAGTTGTAGCAACAGCAGGAGTTGTCGCTGGGGAGTTTTGCTCAGAGAACAAAATGATAGTTGGGATTGGCAATGTCACTGAATTGATCGTGAAACCTCCACCTAGAGTACCAGGCATGGTGCTACTAGCTGCGAAAGGTGAGGATAACGCTGAATTCATCACCGGATTTGTTATTTTCGGGGCGATAAAGATTGAAGATAACAGGGATCACGAAACCAGCACTCTTCGACCGTGTTATATGGAATAGCAACCTGAAGCTCTAGGCGCATATCTTTTGCAGGAGAAGCTGAGGTCAGTGGCAACGCGGACTTGATCTTCTGCCTGCTGCTGGGTTTGGGAGAAAGGAAAGAAGGAGAGACTGGCGCAGGGAAGGGATATCGAGCATGCGGCATTCTGGCTAGTCGATATCTCCGTTTTTTGGATGCGGGCATAGAACGAGGTCTTTTCATCTTGGTCTTTGGGTCGATGGCAGCCATGAGAGCACAGGGTAAGGCTGCAGAGTCGAGTCTTATGGCTATATTCTGGTCCAACGGGCAAAAGCAGCCCAGGAGTGATTGTCGGATAACACAGCGGAGTGGCAAGACAGGCGATGCGACATTCAACGATGCAAGTTAGTTATTTGGATGCGCAAAAACGGAGGAGCAATGCAACCAACCTTTTGCCTTCAAGTCCCGGGAACAAAGGGCTCGCGAAGCGATACCAGGTGATTATTCCGACCACTGACGGTCTGATCGGGCGTGCCGCCCGAGCCGAATCGCTGGAGGTGCTGGATTAATGGCGGAAATAGCTAGGAATTCTCGATCGATCAATAACGAATTCATCAAAAGGGCCTCATGCTACCAATCAGGCTCGTCATGGAGACGGACGGCGCTCCCCGCAAACACTGTGATCCCTGATCCAGGCTCGTCCCTGCAAGGCCTTCCACGCCCAGAGTTGCACTGCTTATCTCGGTGGGCCTGCACGGCTCTCTGGTGCTTGTTTGAATTATTATTATCTGCCACGACGCAGGAGAAAAGCCGCTGCCAACACCACGGCATGCCGATGCGCACACCCGGCACACAGCCGAGATGCAAGATATGCGACGAGATGGACGGCTTCCCACTCGAAGAACCAGCATCCAGCCCGAACGCGACGACCTTTGAGCGCGGATTCAGACGAGAGGCTCAGGCTGCTCGAGATAAGGGCTTATCTTTGACCGGACACTTGCTGATGCTTGAATCCGCGCCGGGTAACTAAATTGGTGGAATGCAACGTGAGCCTGTCAAAAGGGAATAGTGATCAGCGTCAGACATGAACCGACTGTGCTCTGTGCAAACAGCCGTCAGTCATCCGATGCTGACATTGGCCCGAAGCCTTTGGACCCTTGCACTTTGAGGCGACGTGTTGTTCTCGCTAAAATCCGCGGACCTATCTGCCAGATAGTTAACGACCATTCAGCCATCAAAGGCTTGGTTGCCCGCTGGGTTGCGTCCATCGACGCTGGTTGTTTTCGGTTTCCCGGTGGCTTCTATCAAAACGGAATCGACTTCTCCAGAGGTCTATAGTTACTAACTGGAGATAAAGTGCCACCTGCAAGGACATTGCACAACCCTCTACCACCCAATCTGCAATTTGGACGCAACATGGATGCCACTAGATTGGCTTCAAGGATCTGAATCATCGCAAAGCTGCCTCGAAATCAGAAAGAAACGACCGCCTTTGCAATGATGGCGTCTTTTCCGCACACAAGTCAACCCCCTTCCCTGCTGTCTCCCTTGCTTTCCGTGCACAAATTTCCTTTCCGCGGGAACAATCTGACTATTACTTTATCCGGAGGCACGATATCTACTGAGGATGAAAAGTTATATAGAGCGTGAAACTGCTCTCTTTGAAGCGTTGAGGTGCATCGCCAACCCTCATCCTGAGTTTATTCATCCAGGCCAGCTTTGATACCACCGTACCCCAAAATGTATATCCGCTCTGCATTGCTTGCTTTGGCAGCTTTGGCTGGTCAGGCATTAGCATTCCCTCTCAACAGTCTGCCGGAGCGTGACAATGCCGGACTTGATATCCAGCTCTCATCGACTGGAAACACTCGTGTGAAGGCTGTCATTACCAACAACGGAGACGAAGCGATGTCCTTCGTCAAATTCAACACTCTCTTTGACTCAAGCATGGTCCGCAAAGTCAAGATCTCCAAGGATGGTATGGGCTTACCAAATCATTGCCAAAATTAGAGAGCCGCAAAATTCCTAATCGTGGCTCCAACAGGTTCTGCGGTCCCCTTTACTGGTATTTTCGGCTACTATGATATCAACAACCTCCCCAAGGAGGCGTTCGCTACCCTTTCACCGGGTGCCAGCCTCGAGGCTGAATTCGACATTGCTGAGACAGCCGATCTTTCTGAGGGAGGTTCTTTCAAAGTTTCGGCAGATGGGCTTCTTCCAATTGCTGCCACCAAGGGCAGCACAAAGGTTGATGGCGCTATCCAGTTCAAGAGCAATGAGTTAACCATCGATATCGACGGCGACGAGGCCGCCAAGGTCCACGCCAGCGTCATGTCCACTCTTGGGAAGCGAAGCCGGGTTGATGGGCGCACATGCCAGGGCCGAGCTGGCCAAATTATCGTCAATTCTCTGCGAAGCTGTGTTGGCTACGCTCAAGCCGCAGCCCAGGGTGCCGCCAACGGTGACGCCCAGAAGTTCCAAGAGTACTTCAAGACCACCAGCCCGCAAGTCCGTCAGAATGTTGCGCGTCGCTTCCAGGCCATTGCACAGGAGTGCAGCTCTCCATCTCAGGGCCGCAGCATCGTCTTCTGCCAGGACGTCTATGGTTACTGCCAGCGGGGTCTCATTGCCTACACTGTTTTCGCCAACAGCCATGTGGCCACCTGCCCGGACTTCTACAGGCTCCCAGCTCGGGTGAACCAGGGCCTTGGCCCCGACCACGGCTACGTGATGGTCCACGAATTGACCCACGCTCCCGCCGTTTTCAGTCCGTATACCCAGGATTACGCTTATGGCTACCAGCAATGCCGAAGACTCAATGCTCAGCAGTCCCTCGGCAACGCTGACAACTATTCCCTCTTTGCTGCTGGTAAGTATCCCACCCTTCTACTCCATTCTTATTTCTATGTCCCATACTAATATCTGTATGTAGCCGTCGCTCGAGGCGCGTGAGTAATCCTTATGTTCTTATACAAGGCATCAGGGATGTTGAAGGGTGAACGTTGATTGTATATACTTTTATATTTGAGAAACGTATCGCCGATTTATTTAAATGTTCAAGCTTCGGGCACCCAGGCACTCAAGGCGTACCGAGCACGTCATGCGGTATTTGATGAACTAAGGTCCTAAATTACAAACGTAGCCTATTGAGATGTGCTTGATTGGCCCGCAGCAGTCTTAATGATCATGAAAGGGGTCTACGTAAGTGTTACACTCGTACTCAAGACGGATTGCCGATGTTATAGTTTTCAAGTTAAATGGCAAACGGAAAACGGATATGGAACTTAAAAGCTGAATTATACGGGGTCTAGGTATAGTCCGGAAGTCTTTGATAGCCTTCACCTAAAACGGCTTGCGCGCTGATACCATCCTGAGGGTTGGCGTGTAGCCTTTCTCCTTGACCTCTTCAACCAAACGGTCCAGGAACTTATGGTACTCCTCTGGTGTTTTCGCTACACCAGGAATTCCTTCTTCTATATACCCCAAGGAGTGAAATTAGCCAGAAGTGAACAAGGGGCAAACACCAAAAATAGGAGAATACTAACCCCCCATTTGAGTAGCTTGATGGCGAAGCGCTTCTTCCCAGAACTCCACCGATCGATTTCGATTTTCTGGTATCTTGACGGCAGCTCCGTATGCCAGTTCATGACAAACCGCAGTGACATCCTCAAACCCTGCCTCCTCCAGCAGGCTCTCCAGCTTCTCGCCAACATAGCAATCCATACCCACCGACTCGGTTGACCAGAGTTTGAGCAGCGCAAGCCCACGCAGTTCTGAATCCGGTGCCCAAACTTCAGGATACAGCCAGTTACACTCCACAAGCTGGATGCGTCCACCGGGCTTCAGTACGTCGCGCAGATTCTGGATGGCAGTGGGCCACTCGGTTTTCTTGAGGGCCCAGACGAGAAGACGCTGGTGGATGATGTCAAAGGAGTTTTTCCACTCCTCAGGAAGAGGCTGGGTAATGTTGTGCTTGCGAAGGTCTAGCCTGGGGTCGTCCCGAAACAATTGGGAGCCGATGTCAACACCATGCAGGCTGAATTGTCGTTGCGGATGCTGGGATGCAAAGTCCAGAAGCCAGTTGCCTAGAGGCCATTTGTTCTTTTTTAGCTTGTAAAAAAGGGAACATCTGTCGCAAGGCCGTTGAGATGGACTTACCGTCTGCACAGCCGCTATCTAGCACCCGGAGAGGCTGGGTTGAAGGCGGCAAGGGAAAGCCAAGCAGCTCGCCATTGCAGCAGCTCTTGATGTGCTCGTGCTGGCGGCGCAATCGATCAATCTCCCTGGCATGATGCGGAAGTCGATAATGCCCCTCTGTACGACCAGGTGCAGGTGCTTGAGCAGGGGACGGGCCGGGAGTTTCTGCGTCCATCATGTCTGAATCAAGAACATGCACTATTGACCCGCTGGGCTTTTTCGTACTCCAGCTCTCTGGTCTCCGTGAGGGTGCTTTATAACCAGACGGCCTGGGAACTTGGGCCTTTCAGCCATTGAAAACTGCCCCGCTACCGTCCTGCACGGCCAGCACGAGCGGCGACTTGGGTTACACACGGCTTGCATTGTCGTGATGGCCTGCAGTTGAGTTTGAAATCCCTTTGTACTTAAATAATCGGCTGGGCAGGCGTGTTGACCCGACTAAACGGACACGCCGTGAGGGGCCCCGCATACTGGCGTATCAAGATCCGTGTCCTTGTGGAATCAATTTACTAGAGCGGTACGCCCTCGACTCAGCGGTAGTTATTCTTTTCATACTGTTAGGGAGGTATTCGCAATTGAAAAAACAAGAGCAAGATTCGATTCTCAAACTACGTGCTAACAACGGCCTTGATATAGCAATTTAGGGGGCCTCTCAATCAAACCAACCAACTCATAACAAAAGCAGAAAACAGATACAGAAAACACAAGAGGAAAAACAGCCAAAGATTCTTCGGGAATAGCCTGATACTCAAAGTCATGACAATGGACATGGTATTCCAACTCTAAACGTCCTTGCTCCCTCCCCTTGCAAGTAATGGAAAACCAACGAACAAAGAAAGAGACAATTTAGCAGGCCGATTCAACAAAGAAGAACCACAGGAGGGGCCTGCGCAGTCCAAAATCTCACCGACGGTCGGTCCCATCAGACCCGGGCGCATCGAAGTGAGAGGTTCAACGCTTATGGTAGGCGGAAACTTGTTTGCGACCTTCAATACGAATGGTAGAGGACCGTTCGAAGCAATCGTTGTCCGCTCGGATAGTTGTAGATATTGTATGTCTGTGTTTTTTCCCCACCCGGGGTTGCATATCGCCCGCGGAGAGTGAGTCAAGCGCATGTGTAGCGTTACTATAAACGCTTCCACCCATAGCAGAAGTCCCGTGGCGCCGGAGAGCAAGGTCACGAACTGGGTTTCCCACGGAACTGGCTGAGTCCTCGGGGCCGAGTTCTTGAATTGTGCTTTCAGCGGGACTGTAGCTCTGGCGGCGGGACTCTTGGAGCGTAGTCCCGAGTCGACTGGAGCCGCGAGATATAGTAGAGCGGCCGACCGTGCTCCCAAGGCGACTGGAGCCGCGAGATATAGTAGGGCCGCTGACCGTACTCCCAAGGCAACTGGGGCGGCGAGATACAGCAGAGCCGCCGACCGTACTCCCAAAGCGACTGGGGCGGCGAGATATAGTACTGCCGTTTGTCACAGTCCTAGGCCAACCGGTGCGGCAAGATATCCAGGTAGGGCCCCCGAGGCTGGGGGCTCCGACCGCGCTTCCGAGCTGACTAGCAGCCCGCGAATAACGAGCATCAGATACGGAACTCGAACCGTCGAGGACACTTTCCCGAGGCGTAATCAACAGATACTTGGGCGTAGTGCTAGTTGGGCTGGAAACACGCCGCTTGCTATCCGAGCTATCGTCCGAGTCGTCCGAGTCAGACTCGTAGCAATAGTTTGAAGTATAGGAATATTTCGGCATGATTATAAAAGGGCTTTCGCAGTTTGATTGTTACTAATAGAAAAGAATTAGATATGGATTCACTTCGTGCCGCCAGCCATGTTACTTACCTCGAAAGCGGAACGTGGGCTGTCGTGTTTCTTTCCGTTGAATAATGAAGTGGAGACGGCAGAGGTAAAAAGCGCCGATGCTCGTATGGAAGCTGAATAGACCACAGCAATTAGAAACCAAAGTGGGACAACTACTATAGGAGAACCGTTACCTTGAAGTCGTGGTTATGGTAGAATGTGCTTCTGGGTTTTCTGCTTTGTCCTTTGAAAAGACATCTCCAAGGCGAGCAAACGGTTTATATAGATGTTCATCATACAGGCAAGGCAGACTCCTGTCCTGTCTCTCTTCACGTCATATTCACGATTTTGTTTCAAAAGGTTGGCGCGCCGCTGAGGGCGTTAGGTAGACATTTTAGATATCGAAACATTTTGCGCTGTGTCCCTCATACGCTCGATCTGAACGCCGTGCAATCGATGCGAGGACGAACAAGTAAGGCGGGAGGAAATGTACAGCCTCAAGCATCACCTAGAGATTAGGTGTGTTGTTTGAGCCAGGCATCTGCACCCAGTTTCGCAGTGCCGCAATGAACTCGAGTCCTAGGCTCCCTTCCAGCATCGAACTTGGTAGCAGGACATTTTTTCTCAGAGAGCGAGGGTGAATCGCCTCAGCCCTAGGCTCCTAGTCAGTCGTTTGGTTGAGCAATAACTGGGTGCCTAGTGCTCTGTTCAAACGTACGGGCAACGGGGTTAGCGAGCCAGCGGTGGCCCAGCCGCCGCATGCTAGCCACGGAGCAGCGCCAGCAAAAGGCTTTCGCTCTCACTTGAAACACTCCGAATTCATAGCCACCGGTTAGGCAGGCTAACTACCGAACCAGCATCATAGAAGCTTTCCGCCGCCACCAAACAACAGAGTGGCACTCAAAGGTATCTGCGGCCTAGGAACGTCAGAATCAAGCATGTTCAACGGAGTAGAGATAAGCTGTTCTCACTAGCTATGGCGCTTCGAGCCGTGCCAGAGTCCACAGTTGCTACTGGGCAGTCACCAGTTCAATAGGCGCCGGGCAGGGCTCTCAGTCCCACCAGGACAGAGCGAGCACCAAGCCGACAGACAAAGCCAGGGTATATGCTATTGTGACTGGACCTCGACTGGCCAACGTTCTCCGTGTCTGGGATGGGCAGCATTGATGCGACGTCGAACCCGCTGGCGGGAGATGTCAGGACCTAACTAGTTTAAGCAAGCTGACTACACATGTAACTTATCGGACGTATAAAAGAATACATGGCTCCATCGACTCCTCAACACCGAGGGAGCAATAAAATCATATACAATTTACTTGAGTGATAATCTAATAGGCATGAGGATTGGGTTCGCCGTGTTTGGAGAACTACTTGCTTGGAATAACCGCTTCCCAATAAATATATTTGATTGCAGAGAATCGACTTCATAACTCATAACTAAGGGACTAACTAGAAACATAGGAAATGGCATAATCGTTAGAATACGTTAGGAAAGGCTTGCCGTAGCTCCCCCACGGCTGGAGCTGTAACCGGATGCTATGTGCATGCAATGGCACACACATGTCTCAAATACCCACATGGACTCTTTCACCAGTTCGGCTGGTGACCGGGCTAAAGTGTTGGATGGGCCTCTCGCAGCCCGGGGTCCATGAAGCTAGTTTACTTACGTGTGTTGGGCTTTATTTTCTCTGCGTCGATGTATGGGATCCCACTCCTTGTACTCTCAAATACGCGGCGAACTCGGCCTTGGTAATCTTTAAAATCCCTAATCTTGGAGGCCACGACTGACTTCATTTTGGGGGCCCAGAATGTAGATACACCTGTTATAATCGCGTCTCGGGGCGCTTCGTCGTATTTTGGTTCCAACTGGTCTCTGAAGATGTCGTGAATTCCGAGAGGGATTTGGAGGGCGTGGTAATAGAAAAAGCGGCCACTGTCTAAAGCTGTTCTCATTGCTGGAGCCCTGTAATGGCAGCGTCCCTTGTAGTATAATGGTGTGATTTCCTCCTCCTCCTCGAATATGTCCATGAATTCGTCGTAGCACAACTTGAACCTGTCAACCTCCGGTCCGCAAAGCTCGAGGGGATATCGATTGGTCAGCCAGAACGGGGGTAGTAGGCTGGCCACGGGGAGAGAGCATGCCCACTCGATGTCAATGAGATGCTTGATATTCCAGTTTTTGTCAACAAAGATATTGCTAGCATGAACATCAGTTAACTGCATGGCGAAAGGGCCATTGGCGAGTCTTCGGTCGGTAAATTGGCGCAGTAGCGCTCGCATAAGTAAAATGTCTTTGGCCTGTGAACGTGTTTCAAGCTCATCCGGAGTGGCATTCATTTTCTCGCGCAAACGATTGTCATGGCTATCCAGTATGTCAAGGTAGAGGCTTTCCGCATTATTATAAGTAGTCTTTGGTCGGATGCCACCCGGAACACCTTCATTTTCAAATTGATGAAGATGACTGAACAGAGGACGGTTGGACAAGCTGATTCGGCCTTCATCATCGATGCACCACGAACCAATTCGCCGCTGCGGAATCCTGGCGACTGAAAGCATGATTTTAGACAAACTTCGATAGAGATTGCGGGTTTGCTTTTTGGTGTGCGGCTTGTAAAATGTGTCGGAGAGGATTCGGGTGCCGTCGTCCCCAACCCAGTCAATGAGCACATAGCCGCGCTCAGTGAGCCAGCTTCGTGGTTGCGGGATATATTCACTAAACCGCGGGCTGCCGTTTAGGCGACAAACTAGCCGCCGAAAAAAGGTTGTACATCTCTGCCACAAAGAGACGGCTGGCGGGAGAAAAAACTGTTATTCCATCAAATATTAGCACATCATCAATCAACAGTTTGGGGATATGGTAAAACGCACACTTCGACCGCCAGGCAACCCAAAGCCCCACAACTTCGGAATCGGGACATCCGGACAGTTCTCTTTGATCCAGATGTACGTTGCAGCCTCGGTGCGCACCTTTTCCTCCTCGTTACCAGGAAAATGCTCTTCACCAAGCATAAATGGAAGAGGTACCCTGAACGCCAATTTCGCAGGCAAATTTAGCCCGACATTGTTGATTTCGATGGGGATGCACACGTTGAAGCATCCCCTTGGCCAGGCTTTCTTCTTGTCCGGCCCGATAGGGTCCGCCATCCGGACTAGCTCAGTATTCGACAGCCCGCAATGAGAAGCCACAAGGCTTTCGATATCCTTTTTTCGGGCCAACAGTTGCTTAAAGAAAAGCTCCATTTTGGTGACATATTGCAACTGGATTGTCATATCGTTTACAGCCCCCTGTGCTTCCGAGAGCGTAACGAAACCGTCGTCGAGGAGCTCTTTGCGTGGGTTCATTCGGTGCACTTCTTCCATCTCAAGGTCAGGGTCCACGTCATTGGAGACAACCGGAGGGATTTCTTCCTCTGTGGGAGTTCTGAGAGGAGAGGCTGATTCAATAGATGGCATCGTTGCTTGTTCGCCGTTGGCAATGTCTCCCATTGCCGTTCTTCAAATTGATAGTTGTAGATATATGGTTTCTTAATGTAATTTTTGCAAGCCTGCTAATGAGTATGGATGATTTGCACTGGGAGACGGGAGATCACACGGGCTTTATATACCTATCTGCCCGCTAGGCGGCATCGAGAGAGCAGGCGGCAAGCTGTGCCCTCCGCATCGCCCCCTTTGCTCACGATTCGCAAATTCATTATCCTGATCAGATCCTGGGAGCCTGGTGCCTAGTCCGTAGCTGTGCTTTGTCGCTATTCTGGTTGCTGAATGCGCCGCGACCAGTGCATTTTGCTCTGTGCCAGGCAGATATCACATCTGTTCCTGTGCCGAACGTCATGGGTCTGATTCCACATCCGTTGCCGCGGGCTTGAAACGAAGGGGTCTCGCACTGCGTTGATTTGTGAGCTCATCTGGCTGGCGCTTAACTGACGTTGGAGTTGGATTCGCCTTACCTCTTGTCTGCTACTGGCAGGTTTAAGTCAGTGTCTATACTTCGCGTAAGCGCCCGGAGAGATCAGGGATGTGTGCGAGCTTTGAAGAAAGCAAAGCAGAGAGTTGACTCGGTTGGTGAACGTGAACTGGAATGATGATGAAGTAGTTACCACAGCCAGCGGCACGGTGCCAACCATTCGATGTGCATGGAATCTGTGACACGAGGCTGAGAGCAATCCCAAGGCACTCTAGCCTGGGATAGCAACCTATTCATCAAGACGCGTCGAAACATCTAGAAAGGCATTCTTTTTATTTCCTGCATTCGAGTTCTTCAGCCACTGGGACCCTGTGTTTCTGGAAAAAGCGCAATGGCATCGAAACCGGCGGCGAGGCGGCATCCACCAGCGATGCATCCTACCGCTCCCGCTCCCTCGCACTGAACAGCTGGCACATACTGCGATGTTTCAACCTACATGCGGTTGCGCCTACCTGTGTGGCCCGGCAGACAGAAGCCAGCCACGATCAAGCATCGCAGAATGCAGTGCCTGTCTTCATCACGGCCCAGCTTTCCCTCTGGACTCTCAACGGCTGTCGCTTCTCAACTCATACCCGGCGTCTTGTTGCCTGAAGGCGTTCCTCAAACAGGAATCACACGGGCTCAATATATCTCACCCAATGACAGTTTCCTTGGGCACCTGCAAATATCTCTTCGTACAGGTCAACCACACTTTTTACGGTGCCGCTTTGGATAGATACCCTTCAACACAGCGTCCGGTTCCAGAATGCAGGCCAGCGACGTACCTTTCAACGGCCACGATGCTTATACATGCCTTCGCGACGCTGGCGTGGGCCATACTGTCACGCGGGAACTCGAAGATCACTTGATTAAACTGTTCCTTTCCTGGGAGAACCCGTTCATACATGTCGTCGACGAGGAGCTATTCATGGAGGCCCGTGCGAAAGCTTTATCCGAAAATACTGCAGACTCGGGTGTGCGGCTGGGCTGTTATAATCAGGTCCTGGTCAATGCAATGTAAGTCGGAAATGCAAGAGTAACTAAGCCTGACATATACGCTGAAATCAATGGTAGGTGTGCTATTGGTGCCGCATTTACCGACCAAGCAATTTCGGAACTGCCGACTTCTTTGTCTGAATTCTTCCAAAGGCGCGCTCGTGTGCTCTTGGACGCAGACATGGCCAACTCATCCATTGCCACAGTTCAGGCACTCGCCATCATGAGCGCACATGAAGCAGCGGTGACGAGAGATGCTCGTGGCTGGCTGTATAGTGGAATGGCGATGAGACTCGCCGTTGACCTGGGACTACATCTAAATTCAGATCCGGGTGCTCAGAGGGAGCCTTTGAGCGACCAGGAAGATGTCGCTCGGTGTGTCACCTTCTGGGGCATATTTATTGTCGACCTCAACTGGAGCTATTATGTCGGCCGGCTATCCATGCATATTGAGCTAGGCGGCATAAAAATTCCGAAATTGTCGCAATCACTGAGGAAATCGCAGAACTGGGAGGAATATACTGATGAAGCGCTGCAAGAGGCTCACAGCTCTAAACTTTATGATGACCCTCTTGATAATGTTTTGGAGCATCAGGTGAATCTCTATCAGACCATGAGACGACTACAACTAATATTGTGAGTCGCTATCCCCCAGCAATTCCAACGTCGCACCCGTACTGATTAGCGTGTAGTTCTGATCGAAAGCAAAATCCACTGGAAACTATCAACGCGCGCACTGAAAAAATCATTACCGAGCTGCGAATGTGGAAAAAGTCGTTGCCTTCGAATGTTTCGGATCCAGAGAATAGTCTAGCTGGGTCGGCGCAGAAGCGGACACTACCTCATGTTCTATTGCTACATATGCAATATCACGAACTAATGATATTCGCAAATCATCCTTTGATTGCTGCCGCGGACTCATCTCTAACGGCTAAAAGCATCAAAACCTGCAACAAATCAGCCCGCGCGATCACCTTTCTCCTACAGGTGTATAGCCAAACTTGGTCCCTCCGCAGGATGAGTGTTCAAGGGGTGCATATGATTTTCTCTGCAGCATTGGTGCATTTGCTCCTCGCATGCACATCAAATCTTGCGCCTCAGCGCGAAATTGCAGTCGCCAATCTCAAAGCCTGTTGTGAAGCCCTGAAAGAATTGTCAACCCCTTTCCGAAGTGCATCCCGCGCCCTTGATTCCCTTTCGCAGGCCAGGCAAAAATGGCAGGCCTCGCTAGAGAATGACACAGATACACCTCTGAAACTGTATTTCAGGATACAGCAGCCTATTTCTGACCCAGAAATCTGGCAAGCTGTTGACAAGGTCATTTGCAAGGGAAGCCATGTTGAAGAGGATGACCCGCAATCGGGTGATGTGTCGTGGTTGGAGGGATGGATGACAATGTCAAGACCGTCCGATTCTTTGGTTGATGAATTATCTAGAATCGATCCACGGACTTGAGTTCACAGCAAATATAGTATCTACTGTCATCCTCTCTTGGCTACATCAATCCTTGGAAAAATCAACATACATCTTTCTGTGGAGATGCTTTAGTCATATTCGCATTGCTTGCTAAACTTTGTACATACATACCATCCCTTTGAATCAAATCTGGAACAGTTCAGAGATGCTTTACAAAGCTACTCACATGCTGGGACCGGTTAAGGCCTGGCATCATTGACTCCCACCGCTGTTGGACCGATGTCGAACCTCCTTGGTGGTAATATTCAGCCCCTTGCCCGCAGATTTGTTGCCACTATTCCGTTTCGATCCTCCAACCGGATTTGCGATTCTACTTTCCGTACTCCATCTGGTTACGTCGTCAAGGGAGACCGGCCTCGCAGCTTCGGTATATAAGACGTATGGATGAGGATTGGGCGGTGGAGCACTACCAAAACACATGGTCGTTGAGGATCAATCGACCCTTTTCCTCTCTGGTCCGCGCTTAGGGCTTTGTTTATTAACAGTCTTAGGCAATATGCTATCGCTTTTAAGTGAGCGCGACACCTTTCTGGTCTGATGGCCCTATTGTCTCGGATTAGATTCTGTGATTGCCTTTCCCCTCTTCTTAATTCAGAAGGAGTAAGGATTTGCTCACGGTAAATTTGGCGACGTTTAATACTCCTTATTCGCCACCACGGTTTCTAGGAGCGGGTTTCAAGTAGCTGCTGTCGAGGATATGTTTCGTGGTATTTTCTGTTTTGAACGGAAGTTTCTTTTCCCCCTGGGGCTCTGAGAGGTGTACCTTCGCCGCTCAGACAAGGAGACAGAGAGTTTTGAGACTTTGTGTGTATCAAATCAAAGGAAAGCCAGCAGCGACCAGGATTGTCGGGTTTGCCCAGTTTATATCCTGCGTGTTGTATGAGGTTCTCGATAGGTAGAGTTTCCACCGCGTCATATGCCCTCACTACAGTCTAGCAAATATGTATGGACATGGTACCTCGCCACATAAAGTTACCACTTGGTGGAGTGAGAAGCACTTGCGCGGAGCCAACGTAGTTGAAGGAGGGTTAAGGAGTGGACTTCATTCGGCCATTTGTACATTGGGAAGGGCCCGAAAATGACATGATCTAGCATATCCCGTTTTCTTTGCTAAAAAGGCATAGTCGTACACGGAATACAAGGAGCTGGAATGTTGGAGAAATGATAAATTTGTATTTCAAGGCGAGTTTCAAAAGATGGCGAAAGAGGAGCTATGTGCCATGGACATAGCGAAGAAATAACAAGTGAGAAACACTTAGCGAAACAAGATGTGAAATAGGATGGCAAGAAAGGTGCTAAATTAGGAAACGATCAAACTTCCCGCCTGGATAAATACGCATACATATTAGCCGATATTTACTCTTTTCAAAGTGCAAGGTCGATAAGGACAGAGGCAATGCTTCCATGTGTACTTACCACGTTAGCCCTGATTTCTCGATGGACGGCGTGGGTATCGCATTTCTATCGCCGAATGGATTATTCTCATCATCGTCATCATCATCATCGGCCGCCGAATCTTCGCTTGCGGTTTCATAACTCAATCGCTTATCAACATTGGAAGGGGCATTCCGGGGCGGTTTGGTAGGAGGATTCAGTACCAAACCAGCGAATCGATCGGGGACAGTCTTGTCGGGGAACCGTCGAAGGTCATCGATCGAGAGATCATCTTCACTGTCACTGTCGTAGTCGACACTCTTGTCCAGAACTTCAAAGGCCATCAATGCATTGACAAGCTCTTCGTTTGCATGAATAAGGCTTCCAAGGAAATCATCACTTTCAACAACCTGGATATATCGTAATATTTGGCGTCTCAGTGATTTGCATCGTTCGAACTTCTCCATGACGTCGGAATTTTCGCTCACTCGCTGGGCCTCACGATTGACGAGTTTTAGCGCATTTGTGAGATTCGTGCTAGCTACAGAAGCAGATGCGATGGTTTGCAGAATTTCAGGTCGTTCCTTATCTAGATTAAAAGGCGTCGTTCGATTCCGCTTTTTGTCTTTCGACTTCCCGGATACAGTTGGGAATGGGGGCATGGATGATCTGCGGCCTGTTGGGGATAATACAGTAGAAGGGCCTTCTCCTGAGGATATGGACACGGTATGTCCCATGGGCTGATCTGCGGCCTCTTCTGTCTCTTTTAATACTTTTGACTGCTGAGGACGGGGTCGCCTCTTCCGCGTGGGAAGCTGCTTATAGAGAAGTGCGACACGCTCCATGCCAGGCGTACTTTTATAAGTTACCGCCCATTGTGGAAATAGTTGCTTGCATTTTTCTCTCACATCGGGGTCCGAAACTGAATCCGTGGCGGCAACTCTTAGTCGCTCAAGAAGCGGCTCATCAGCGAAGGTTTTTAAAAATCTGTCGCCAGCGTTCTGTATCAGAAAGTCTAGTATTGTAAGCGCCCGCAGTTGGCGATGGACGCTCCCGTATTTTCTTTTATGTTCGCGGTTAGCTTGGGAAGGATCGGAATATACATCACTGCTAACATACAGTTTCTTTCGGAGTGCCCTACTGGCCTCCTGTGGTCCGCTACTTTGCAACCGTATAACTTCGATTAGGTCTACAATGCCGCTCGAATCATCCACATCATACTGTTCGCTCGTAAGCCGATCGATTTGGACAGTCACTGCCGTAAAAGGCTTTTTCTAGAACAGTGTAAATACTAATTAGAATTGTGGCGCCATTTGTAGTACCCAAAAGTAGATAGATGACAAGTAGCTAGTGGCAAGCTAGAGATAAGACTCGAAGAGATATTACTACTGGGAGTAATAGCAAAGAGGTGACCCAGGCAGAGGTGAAACATATCAAAGACCCTACGTATCAGAACGCCTGATGAAGGTCATACAACTCCGGGCAAACCCTTGTAACTTGAAACGTTCCACAACCTTGGTGAAACAAAAGAGAAAAGAAAGTTGCAGTGTCATACCGAAGAGGAGAACATCGTGGCTGCAGGTGTCTGTTCAGGTCAAGTCAGTGACACGGAAAGAGTACGTTCGGCTGCTCACTTACTGTACGCCCTAGGAGAGATATGGCAGCGGAATCTCAAGGTGTATATACACTTTGATCGTGTAAAGTTGCTTTTGGAATCAATGGTGGCTAGTAGATATGTGCAGTGCCCAGTTGAGATCATGGAAAAGCAAGGGTGAGCTTGTTGGTAGAGAGCTAATACTAGCCGACTCAGCCGCAGACCGCGGGGTAGACCTGAGGGTGTCTAGCGGGAGAATGCAGGAAGCTGGACGCGAGGAGCTGTGATTCGAAGCAGAGAAATGGTGCAGTGCTGCCGTCTGGCCCCCAATTGCAAAACAGAGGCGTGGTCTCGCGGGCGAGGTGGTGTTGATATCGCCAACAAAGAGGTGAAGCTGCTTTTTGTCGGTTGAAAGCGAGCGTTTGCACATGACGTCTTCGGCACGTGAGGTGGCCTGCCACCCTAGCCGCTTGCGGTTAGCGCTCCCTAGCGGCGGCTAGCAGGAGCGCTAGGCTTGCCCGGGTCTAGTGCAACGGGACGGTTACATAAGCGATCGATCGCCGGCCTCGGCCCGCCGCGTGAATAATCCATATAATCTCGCTGGCGGGAGTCGAAACTCGAGAGGCGGGCCCGATGCTCCCTGCAGAGTGACATCCAACCCCGTCCTGGAGTTGCAGCCGATGAAACGTGCAAATTACGCCCAGTCAAGTCTATTTAATCTCTGGCGATCCCCCGGGTTCTGGTCGGTCGTCTTCTGCTCAGCAGCTGCACTCATTCTGGCATTGAGTGTTCCCCGCAGCGTTCGAACCCTCTCCTCCTCACTTGTCCCGCGATACTTTTCCGCCTCACCGCTCTTATCCAGGAAGATGTCCTACCAAAAGGAATTGCTGGTGGCCCAGTTGGCGGTTCAGAGAGCTTCCATCTTGACCCAAAACGTGTTTCACGAGAAGGCCAAAGGCACCTTGTCCAAGGACGATTTCTCCCCCGTAACGAAAGGGGACTTTGGCGCCCAGGCCTTGATCATTCAAGCAATCCGCACAAACTTCCCTGAAGATGAAATTGTGGCAGAGGAAGAGGCGAGTTCCCTTCGCGAGAACGATTCGTTGAGAAACGAGATGTGGAATCTTGTCAAGGATATCAAGCTCACCGACGACGAAAGCGACCGAATTCTCGGCGGGCCCTTGAAGAATGAGACCGAAATGCTTGAAGCTCTCGACGGCGGAAAGAGCGAGGGTGGCCCCAAGGGCAGAATATGGGCCTTGGACCCCATCGACGGCACAAAGGGTTTCCTCCGTGGTGGACAGTATGCGGTCTGCCTTGGCCTCATTGTAGACGGTGATGTCAAGGTCGGCGTGATTGGATGCCCAAACCTTCCTCTTTCTGATTCTGCAACGCTCTCTGCAGAAATTGGCCAGTCTGGTGCCGCAGATGCAGAGACCGGTGTTCTCTTCTCTGCTGTCAAGGGACAGGGAGCCACCAGCCGTCCACTTTCCCAGGGCGCTTTGCCAGAGGGCAAAGCGATTTCCATGAGGCCAGTCACGGATATCTCCCAGGCCTGCTTCTGCGAGGGCGTTGAGGCCGGTCACTCCGCCCAGGACGATAACGCCGAAGTCGCCAGACGCCTTGGAATCACCTCACCCAGCGTGCGCCTGGATTCGCAAGCCAAGTACTGCTCAATTGCTCGCGGTGCCGGCGATATTTACCTCAGATTACCAGTCAAGGCCGATTACCAGGAGAAGATTTGGGACCACGCCGCAGGAGATTTGCTTGTACGCGAAGCTGGAGGCGATGTCACTGACATCACTGGCAAGAGACTTGACTTCAGCATTGGTAGGAAGCTGTCGGGCAACAAGGGTGTGGTGGCAGCACCGAAACCTATTTTCGAGCAGGTTATCAATGCGGTTCGCGCTGTATATGCAGCAAAGGCGTCGATCTAGAGGATTGGATATAGAGTTTGAGTTCACTTTCCGGTACACGTACAAAGTAAGAGCAGGTCTTTATGATAAAAAAAAACGATACCAACGCCTATTATGTACATACATACAGATGAAATAAACAGAAGATAGCTGAGAAATGCAGAATATCGATATCATTTGATCTTCTTCGCCTTCAACTTGATAGTCTCGCCATTGACGAAGATACCCTTGCCCTTATACGGCTCTGGCGGTCTCCACTGTCTGATTTCAGCTGCGAATTGGGTAACCACCTCCTTATTGACTCCTTCGAGCAATATTGTAGTCGGTTGTGGAGCGCTTGCTTTTACACCTCTGGGGATACCCAATTCGACCGGGTGGGCATACCCTACTTTCAGGGAAACAAATTGCTGTCCGGGGTATTCGGGGGACAGCGTGATGGCTGTGGGTTCTATGGATGCCCTGAAACCAACACCAACCATCTTTAAGATGCAAATATGGCCTTCCGAGACGCCTAGAATATAATTTTTCAAATGCTGCCGAATTGTTCCTACAAGCGAAAAAGGAAATCCGTGAGTTGGTTTGGTCTGTCACCCATGCAGCACTCGTCGGTGCAAAACCTCAAGATGAAATACGCACCCCACATGGCTTTCTGCTGCTTATTTTCCGCATCGGCTATCTCAAAGCTCGCCTTCCTCGACTCTGGGTCGTATTTCAACGTGGAAAACGAAGGGATTTTCAACGTCATTTTGCCTATTTCCCAGAGCGTTAGAGCGGCTGGTTTCTTCAATCGGAGTGCGGGATCAGATCAACTAACCCAGAGGGCCTGACACCTCTACAGCCACAACAGGGACATCCACGGAGGTCACTCTCGTAGTCGCCTTTGATTTAGGCAAGTCGATGAACTTCAAGGCAACTTCCGGCGGGACGGAGATTGGTGCGGCCCCGATTCGAGACTGCGAGGCCGCGGAGGTTGAGAAATTTTGAGTCTTTGGGGGGAGCGAGAAAGCGGGTACAAGGAAGGGCGGAAGGGAATTGAGTCGCGCAGACTCCCGAAGGAGCTGCCTGCAGTAGATTCGAGACAGCGCCCAAGTCATCTTTGCGGACACTGATTCGATTCCCCCAAGCGTTGCAAGTCGACGAGCTCGCGACATCCAGAAATGAATTTCCTGGCGCTAGAGTTAATTGGGCTTAGCGTAGTATAATTGCCAAGCAGATCACATGATTGACTACCTAGTTATGTAATCATAATCCTTAGTCATCCTGAGCGTCACCGCGTCTCTTTCATCGACGGCAGCGCGACGGCAGAGGTGAACAACCCTTCTCTCACTTGTACACTGAAGATGCCAGCCAGCTGAAGAGGATTTAATTCAATGCCATCCAGAAACACTCGTCAGGCAATGATGTGAAATCCTTTATCTCATGGGGAAGCGACATTTCCCTTCTTGCTCGTATTATATAGACCTTGACAGAGATTTCTACTTACGAAATTTATGATCACGACATTACGCTGCTTTGACGACCTTGATCTTGTTAATAAGATCAATTGCTTTATTATGAACATCTTTTCTTTTGAGCTATCTTCTCCCTGTTCCCCAAAAATGGACCGGACGAAGATGTTTAGACCCTTCCTCTATCTCTTTCTTCTGTCTTGTTTCCCTAGCCTAGCCCAGGCTTTGAAATTCCCACATTTTCAGAGAGGTAAGATAATGCTTGACCCCTCATTCATTTCTAGTGCGTGGCTCTGACGAGAATAGGTTCCAATGTAGTTCCAGTTGCGCCAAAGGCTGCCGCGGAGCTAACTTCCTTATTGCATCTGGACAACGTGAAAAGGAATGAAATATTTTCAGAGGCTATTCGGCTACTCGACTCTATGCAGTCCTCTTCTTCTTGCAATCAGCGCGCCGTCACGGACCTACTCATGTCTTGTCAGGCCTTGGAAGGTAACCAGAGGGAGCACGACCAAGATTTTTCCCTTCAATTAGACCAATTCAAATCTTTATATGCCGCTAGGCTGGCGGTGTGCGAGCTTAGGGGCGCGGGAGCAACCGTTCCTGACAAGTGCCTACCCATTCTTAACTCGTCCAAAGAAAATACCGAACCTCAATTTCATGAAACCTTTCATCGCGGCTCCAAGGAGCACCGCGGCGTCCCTGCTCAGCTAGAATCCTGTCTTCATTCTTTAGAATCCAGGCCTCAGTGGTGGACGAGTTACAGCAACAACCGTCAGAATGCAGCTGTTATGTGCCAGGCAGCACGCTTTGATATAGAACGAGACGAGCTGCTAAAACACCACAGGAAACTTGCTAAGATTACATTTGGGCTTACTGAATCTTTGAACCAGTCACTGACTGATGCTGCAAATGAAGCGGTCAAGCAACATGTTTTTCTGAATTTGATTAATGATCTACGTTCAAGAATAATCGCTGACTTACAGGATGTCGACGTTACCGCTCGCACCCGGTTTGCGTCATTTGTTAGTGAATTGGAGGTGCAAATACGTCAAACGAGTTCGGAGACGAAGGAGTTCATGGCCGATATCCTCTCAGATACAGGACTGCTATCGAAGGTTTGGAATTAGTACTTCGTTGTTTACCACGACCTTTAACCCTATCTTAGGACATCCGTTCGTCGATTCAGTCGATCCAGGATTTAAAGGAGAGGGTAAACGAGGCCTACATCGAATTGATGAAAAGGAACTCGGAATCCGCAGCCGCAGCACAGGAAAACCAACAGGCAAATATTGAAGTAGTCTCAGCGGTTCGGCAGTCTCTAGATCAGGTTAAAGATCAAATTCAGGTCCTCAACAATCAAGAATTCAGCCTCCTCCATTCCTCACTTGTAAGCCCTGTTTCCCCGACTTTTCTGCAAAATATGTTGATATATTGCAGCGATCTTTGAATGGGTTGATATTTTCAATGCACCAGAAGCAAACTTCTTTAGACCAGGTATCCCTACCCTGACAACTTAACAGACGATATCTGACCCCCAAAAGCGCGTGAAGCATTTCGACACCGCTTTTCAACAATTCGAATACAGAGCATCTTTGCTTCAGAATTGTTAATGGCGCAGATCTCAAATCACACGCAGTTCCAGAAGTCGTTTCGTGCCGATCTTCGGGATCGCTCAATCACTTCTCAACGGTGTGACTA